TATGTCTATTTCTCGACGTTAATAAGATCTGATCTGATCCTTCCAACTGAGTGAAGGTCTTCCTCTTCTTCTACCAGTAGGCACTGCATACAATACTTTCAAAGCTGGAGTGCTTTCATCGATTCGGACGACATTACCTAACCAACGTAGCCGCTGTCTCTTCATTCGCTGAACTATGCAAATATCATCAAATAGCTCGTACAGCTCATCCTTCCATTGTCTGCGGTATTCAGCCGCTGCCAATACGCTAAGGGCCATAAATAATTCGCAACACTTTTCTCTCGAATACTCCTTGAGCCGACTCATCACATGTTGACATCGTCCACTCTTCCGCGCCATATAATAAGACAGCTTTGATGAGCGGCTTGTAGAGTTTGGTTTTCGTACGCCAAGAGAGCACTTTACTTTTCAATTGCCTGCTCAATCCAAAGTACCACCTTTTGGCAGGAGTGATTCTGCGTTGGATTTTAAGGCTGACATTGTTGTTGGTATTAATACTGGTTCCAAGGAAGATAAAATGATCTACGACCTCGAAGCTAGGACTGTCAACACTGACGTTTGATTTGGTCAATGGTTGACTCACCGGGTCTAAAACCACACTGATAAGGTCCAATCAGATGGGCTTTAGTCTTTGACACAAAATGCTCAATAGGAGATGTAATTACTTCTTTGAAAAGGAGGCATGAGCGAATCGAAACCGATATTTTTAGCGAGTCATTGAAGAACACAGCTTGAACAAAATTTGTTAGGCTTCAATTCTTATATGGATTGGATTTTGTAAGCTCGCTCACCATGATGCTTCCATAAAAACGTCCATAAAGTGAATTGGTATAGCTTGAATTTTTGCGCGTGATGACGGATAGTTTCATTCGGGTCTTCTTCGATTCTCTGCTCCACAACAGCAATGAGGTCTTCGGTGCTCGCTGTTCGGCCTCTCGTAGGAAATGCATTTTATCCATTAAAACTAATGTGGTGCAAACCCGATTCAGGGTTGCTTGAATTACCGACTGTGATGGGCTGTTATACCGAGCTAATATTGGGCGCTGCATGCGATGTATCGCGCGAACCGAACCATTTTTGATAATAAATTTGCACTTGTTACGATGAAAGTAATTATGAAATGGTAAGCCGAGCCGAAAGAAGTATTGTCTCATTTAAAATCACACGTCTAAAAAACACCCTTTATATAAGAATCTGCGTATGGAACAAAACCAAAAGAATATTTTTAAATTAAATTTACTTTGGTCGGGTTTTAAACATTAGCTGGGAAAGTTTGTTATTAAAATCCATTATCAGTGTAAAAAGACAAATTCTGTAATTATATTTTAAATCTACATAAGTTTGATTAAAAAGCTTAAAAGCAGAAAATTACGTGTTTTAAATAATTTGCATATTTATATATATATATATATATATATATATATATTTATGAAAAATATATTACTCATATTATTTATTAAACTCGTCAGCGCGTACTCGAACAATTTTACGCACGAAATGATGCAAATTACATAAATTTTTATAATATTTACTACTTCAATGTCAATCAAGTGAAATGTCCTTAACGCGGACAACGTGCATGTCAGAATGAAAGCGTTACATATAATAACATTAAATATTAAGTAAGAAGAGCAAAATTATATTTGCGAACCACTTACGAAGGCAAAAAGTGAATCAATACTTGTATATGTACTTCTCAGCCTTCCAATGTATAATCCTTTGAAGTGTAAGTGCAATTAAACGAAAGGACCATTGTGAAAGCTAATGAGTGTGAAGGTGCGGACAGTAAGTTCAGATAAGCAAAAGAGGTGAGCAGAAAAAATTGAAATAAATCAATTTAGGTAGAAAATTTCGAAGACACACACATATCGTGGCAATCATTTATGTGAATTGGTATGGTTAGTGGTTAATTACGGCTGCTTTTATGGATCAATGGGCAATGTTCAAAGATCAGTGTCCACCAAGTCTGGAACGTAGCGATAAATTTCACGTTAATCAAAAAATTACTATCAATTCAGTTCAAACATTTGGAAATGTTAGCGTTAAAGCAGTTATCTAACTAATTTCCATTGCATTTTTAACCGAAACGAAATGCGTTCGTTAATGTTAAGTCGTTAGCAGTTAATGTTAAACGATAACAGATAATGTTAAATCTTTAACAGATAAGGTTTCACGTTAGCATCGAAAGGTTCTGTTAAGGGACACACCTAGTGTAATGGCCTAAACAAAGGTGATTTTTGGGAATTTTTATTAAAAAAAAATACTCTATCAATTATTTCAAAATTTTGAGAATATATTTATACATTTTTCAAGAATATACAGTGAAATATTTGAAAAAAAAAATTAAATATTTTTTAAATTATAGTCGATCTCCAACGGCGCGAAAAAAGGTCCTTCACTGCTGCAGTGATTCCGGCCTTCTTCGTGGATGAAATCTAAAAAAAAAATTCTCGTTAAACTAAATAATATTGTCTGTACAATGATCTACGATAAAAAAAATCAAAACTTGATAATATAGCGGCGTTTAAAAAAAAAAATAGTCGAATTTTACCCAAAATTTTGGTCGTTTTCGGCCTGCCAAAATTCGATTTTTGGATCAGATCACAAATCGATAGCTCATTGTACGGAGAACTATATATAGAACATGTAAAAAAATTCGAAATTCGGATCATTTGTTTTTGAATAATTACTGCAGCAAATTCGGAAAATGCTGTTTCGAGAAAAACGCGTTTAAAGATAAAATGATCGTTTTCACTCGTAGGTAATGAGACTTTCCGAGCCGAGCGGCTGCTCTTTAAATTGCTATAACTCAAAAACTATTTGAGATATCGATTTGAGATTTTAATATGTGATTTTTAAAGGTGTAATCTACTGATATATGAGATCGTGTTTTTTTTTTTGAAATTTCACACTAGGTGTGCCCCTTAACATCATAGCAGGTAGCCATTATAAAATTAATATTACCGATAGGTTTGTGCGATTTTATCATAAAAAAAATCATTTCTTTAAGCTTATTTTTTATATTAACAAAACAAAATGCCATTAATGTTAATGATCAAATTTCCGCAATATGTTGTGTTTTTTTTCACAGTTAATTCAATTTTCTTAATGTCAAATAAACTTATTGGGTAACGAAGTAAAAGAAATGGCTGATTTGCTACCCGGTAAAACGATTATTTTACAAAAACCAAATACAAGAGCAAAATTACCGAACAACTATTACCGAATTAACAAAGCAATGATATAATATTTTCATATTGAAAAAAAATAAAATAAAAATAATAAATAATAAATTTGTAATGGTAAAGAACGCACACAGGCGTCTTCTTACAGATCAATATACCTACTACCCCGTCGTTTCAAATTATTCCGATATCAAAGACATTTACTTTTCTCCATCATAACAAAAGTGATACCAGAACACCAAATTCGGTTTTCATGAAACACGGTACAAACAACAAGCCAACCGAATTATAAATGAAATTATGATAGCGTTCGGGTTCAAAGAGTATTACCGTGCAATATTTCTTGAGGTTACTGAGCACAGGCATTCGACAAGGTCTATTACACAAAATTTATAAAACTTTGATTATCCAAACTAAAATATATTTAAATCACACCTGGGCAAGTGGTATAGCGTAAAAAAATCGAAATTTATGACTGAGATGTTTCCAGTTAAAGCTGATTTTCTGAAGGTAATATTTTTGGGTTAATATTGTACATTATATACACTGCAAGCATCCCTTGTAAACCGAAGAGTGCAGACATCTACTTTCGCGGATGAGACCTATTGTGCTGTGATAAAAGTGCTAGAAAATCATCGTAATTCCAAGGTTAACAACGGTCGCACCGTGGTACGTTTGTAAAGTAAATACACATAAAGACATGGGTATCTTACTGGTGGAACCTGAAGTTGAAGAAGAGCAGAACAAAACTAAGAAATCATTTCAACCCGTTAGCTAACGCTTTGTGTAACTCATCCATAAATTCCAGACTGCAACGAAGAGAACTTCCACGCCTACTGATGAGAGCACCATAATTTGAATAGGACTCTGAGTTCATTTAGGTTTAAGATTTTGTATACTTACTGTAAACCCAAAGTTTAAGTAGATTCAGTAATAAATGAAATCCCAAAAGACCCCTGCGTTCGTGCCTTCCCATTACAGAATCGCTCCTTCACCGAATCAATCTACATCTTCTTTGACTTGGACAATGTTCACGCGATTATAACCGAATAAACAATAGCGCACTATTCGGTTCTTCTCTTCGTTGTTTCGCGCCAGCTGGAAACGAGGTCACACTTCAACTGATCCTTCGAATGGAGTAGACGTCTTCCACTTCCTCTCATCCTTGGTCACATCGTCCTTGTCTGCCGTCGGAGCATGGTTGTAAATCAGCGGCATGAATGCCAATACTTGGTATCAGAATCTCTCCACCACCACAAAACTAACACCAAATTTTCGTTCTGTAGTAAATTTCATAAGCACCTACTCGTTGTCTCGTCCATCGCAGTTCTTGAACGGCGCTGAAGTCAGCCTTTATTCTTTCGAGGTACTCAACCAGCTGGACAACGACATCTTCCCAATTAAAGCGCCGGATCTTCTAAATGCATGCCCTCAAATCGTGATCCTTAATACATTTGCGGTGGTCGTCATCAAATGGGTGGATCTCTCAGCCGAAAATTTCTTGCCGGCCTCCAACTCATTAGTGATTTATTTTATTGAATTTGATTAAATTTTCTATTTTCACATAAGATATTTCCACATCTCAAAGAACATACGCTAATCAATACTTTTTCTTATACTTAGAAAAATTTTGAGAAGCGAGCAAGTTAACGGAGAAAAAAAGAATCTTTATAATTTCTCAAAATCCACTTCCGCAGAAAATTTATTAATAAATAGAATCATAAAATTAAAATGAAACATATATATATATATATAAAAGAATATATATACGTTATTAATGTATGTAAATCTCTTTTACTTGATCTTCAATTACAGGTGCCGGGCCCCTATCGCGTCACTTGACTGCATGGAGGAGTTCAGTGGTACGGGAGGTCATCTTGATTTCGGTATCAAATTTCTCACTACCAATTTCTGCCGCTTCTAATCGTATTCTAATGATTAGTGTTATTATAATTTTTGTTCTTTCTGTTAACGTATTCGTTGAAGTTTTTGAAAAAAAAAGAAAATAATATTAAAAAAAAATACTAGTTTTATAGTGTAAAAAATTGATCAGCAATTTTTGTCTTATATGATTTTTGCGTTTATGTACAATATGTTTGTTGTATGTTGTTGTTTTCTCAATAATATTCAACTCATTCATAAAATCATTCATCAATTAATCAGTATTGTTGTTGTTTAAATACATAGATAGCGCAAAACTAGGTAAAGTTGTTCATTAATATTATTATTATTAATATTAAATTTTTTTAACTAAAATTGAGGTTATAATAAAAATCTACACAACAATTCGTTTCAACATGCACATGAAATGAAAAATAATTATTCGATACGTTGCCAATCTGAATTAAATTTATTATGAAGCTAAATCGATTATTTTAATTTTTTTTGTAATTAAATAATTATATTTTGCCTTCACACACAAAAGGGTTTTCCTATAAGAGTTGTTATGTTGAAAATCTGGCTATGCCGGTAGATGTCACCCTTGATGCTATAATTTTAGACATTTAACAAGTAAAAAGTACGCCAGTAAAAAAATGGAACGCTACACGCTTCAACAATGCAATGAAATTACCAAAATTCACTATAAAAATGGTAAAAACCCGACAGAGACGGTTCGTAAGACTAAAACATTTTTCGGTTGACCTTAAGTCTCTTATCAAACCGCAATACAGAAAATGATGGAAAAAAGGTATTGGCGCAAGCCAGTGATATGAAGAATAAAATACGTGAACGTCGCCCAAAGTTTTGAATAAACCCCAGGTTTGTTCATTACTCGTCGCATAAAGCATAAAAATTTGGGTCTTAAGGCTTATAAAGTTCAGTTAACATCAGAACTCATATCGGCCGGTCATCAAAAACGTCGTGCCTTTGCTAATTGGGTCCCTGGAATGCATGAAAATGATCGAGAATTTCATAGAAAAATCATCTTGAGTGAAGAGCCCCGTTTCCACATCGATGGCTACGTCAATAAGCAAAACTGTAGCATCTGGGGCTCGGAAAACCAAAAACTTAATGTTGAAAATCCTCTCCAACCTCAACGTAAAAGTGTTTGGTTCGAATTATGAGGTGGCGGCGTCATTGGACCTTATTTTTTCGAAAATGAAGGGATTGCGCTATCAGGAGATGATATCTCATTTTTTATGACAACAATGGGATGATATGGACCTGCAAGACTTCGCTACGTCTTACACAAGCAACGAAACACCGAGATCTTCTTATTTAACAAAAATTAAAAAGTCCCTTTGAAGCAGCTGATCAACGTCGATTCAAGACCTAAAAGATAAAACTCGTGAAGCCATTGAGTGCATACAGATGCCAATTTGCGATTTGGTGATGGAAAATTTCATAAACAGGATACGGTCCTGTAAGCGTACTCGTGGCGGTCATTACACTGTTAATGTTTTCCATTATTTATGGTATAAAGTCCTCTTTATATTGAAATAAACCTCCGATTATTTATCTCAAAAAATTTAATTTTTCTTTGAATATCAAAATAACACCTCTTATTGTAGAACCCTGTAGTTCGTGCACACATTTGTTACCACTCAACAAACTTTTTATTGTTTTTGTAAAATTAAAATAAACGTATAATTGCACGCCACTGTACACACTGCCTGAACTCGTATATGTATATCGTATATCGTATGCAGTAATTGGTCGCTGTCACATTCGATTTGCACGTCAATGTCGCTTAGTTTAATTAATATATACTGTATATATTTAACGGTACAAATTTGTTATTTACACTTACACTCTCTCTCTCACTTACACTTCCTCGCATGCACTATGAAGGCCGTTCGATAAGTTTAGGCTCGAATCCGGCACTACCGTTACGCCATGGCTCCACACCAACACCCGGTTTGCGCTACAAGAACCTTGGCAAAAGCGGCTTGCGCGTCTCCAATGTCGGTCTGGGCACATGGCCCGTTTTCTCGCCCGGCGTTAGTGACGAACAAGCCGAAGCTATTTTGCGTTTGGCCATTGAGAGTGGCATTAACTTGTTTGATATCTCTGAGGCGCATTCAGAGACGGAAATTGGAAAGATTTTGCAGCGTACGGGTTGGAAGAGAACTGCATATGTGATTACCACGAAGGTGTATTGGAGCACCAAGTGAGTATTGAATAAGCTAAGATATACATAAGTATATATGAATGTATGTAACTTCATATGCATTTTATAATAAACTGGACGGGACGAACACATCCAGACATCAAAGCAATGACTTTACCACATTTTTAATTTTTACTTACTTACTTCTTTTTTCGTCAACGCGGTCTGCTTACATATATTTAGGTATTCACCGGTCTTCTAAATGTAAGCCAGAAGATCTTGCTGCCGCCACCCCATGGGCTATCGTTTGGCTTGTAAATTTTGACCACAGCGCTTAGAGATATTGGTTTTTGGGGCTGAATTAGTGTGTCTGCCTGTTACGAAAGGGTTGATGAAGCTCTCCTTGGAACATACACGCTGGTCAAGCAACCACTGTCTGCGCCTCGTTATGTTCAAAATATGTTAGTTTTAATTGTAGTTTGCTATCGATCTTATCTATGGGATTCACTTAGGCTGAATAGGACCCATTTTAATGTAACAAAGTGCGACCCTCAAGCTTCATTGTCTAGCCATTTTTTATTCTCTACTGATGCATGTCTTCAACGTCGGCTATCTTCTTTAGACCATCCAGCAATATCCCAAAACATCATTATAAAACTTCGAAATCAAGCCCTGCTCAAAGCCGGACGGTCGCATAAGAGATGGGGATCGTTTCCTCCCCTTTCAGATTCTAATGCTGTCTGACCAGTCAGTGGCCTGTCAGAACTTCTACTACTTTGGACATTTTCTCTCTTTCAGATCGTAGTAATATTCCACCTCAACGCGGAATGTTCAGTGAATTCCTTGGAAGCAGTTTACAAGTGTCAAAAGGCATACTAATACGTTCATTATCGAGAAGAATCTGCTTGGCCGTACCTTACATAGCTAGTTCACTCGCCTTATAATTGCCCTCGATGTCAATGTGATCAGGGACCCACGTAAGAGACATTATGTTCTCCTTAGCCATCTGCTTTAAAAATCGGCGACAGCCCAGTTCCAATGAGGAATTTAGTGTAAGCGGGCCCAATGCATTTATTGCCGCCTAGCTGTCGCTGAAAATGAAGATATCGTTATCTTTAATGCTGGCTTCAAATTGCTATGCAGCCACTTGGTAGCTGATATCTCTACCTGCAAAACACTGCAATGATCAAATAGTCTGAAAGAAGAGTTTTATCGGTTGGCTCAATTAGAAGACACCTTCGCCAGCTCTCCTCTCAAGCTTGGGTCTATCCGTGTATATTTTAAGGCTGGACATTTTTTTGTTGAAGTAGTTATCAGTTAGTATTATTAGATCGAGCGCACCGATCTGTTCAACTTGTAATGGAATCATATTTATCCAATATTACCGAGTGTCACCAGGGCTGGGTGATCCATTAATGTGACTCTCTTAGACGAAGTACAGTCATTGCTGACGATTCATATGCCACCAAGTTCAGTGACATCTCGTATCTTTGGATAATTTTATCTACCCAGCTTAGCTTCATGTCTAAGAGGAATCCTAGAAATTCGGTCCATGTCCCAAAAATAATCTGAATACTGTGCAGTAGCGCAGATCTTGCAAATAACGTTAGTTCTACTTTGCTTGCATTAATACAGAGCCGACATCGGAAGGACACCTTGCTGAGTATTCCCTGTATCTAGTTACAGAGGGTTTGTAGAAACACATTAACATTACATTAATATCGAGTATACTGTGAGACTCTATTTCAATTCGGGGGAGAGCTCCACCCTGTGGAGTGCCTCAGTTTACATATCTGTATACTTGATATCCTTTCAGGTCCGCGGTTATAACCCTGCTTAGTAGCAATTGGTCGACATCTCAGCTAAACGGTGCAGCTGTTACTGCACTTAGTAAGATGTTTTTGAAATCTCCTTATTTTGGTTGGGATGCCTAAATTAAAGGTTATGGTTCATGAGGTTTAAGGCTCAAAATGTTGGTAGTAGTGGTGCACTCTTTGAAGAGAACTGCTTGAAAACGTCCGGTGCGTCAGTCGTCCTTTTGATGTGGCCTCTCGGAAGTCAAACAGTGTCCTATTAGAAGGTACGAACAAATTATTGTCTCTCTCTTACTATTTATAATAATTGGGAATCACTCTGAGTCCAAAAATCGAATGTATAGGTTTTGAACACGGCAAGGCCTTCAGAGAGGTGAGTTGCTGAGATTTCTTGTAACAGATAAATTTCATTCCTCAATAACGAATACTTCTACAAGGAAGCCTATAATTATTTGTTCATTTCAGCGGTATTTTTATTTAGTAGTTCTCGTCATAAATTTTTTAGGACGTTCGCACCTTAGTTCGACTCCAATATTTAAGTAATTTGTTTGATACACGACTCGTATGAATAACCCATCAATTTTATCATTACTTTCGTAGATCGGAGGAACGTGGCCTTTCACGCAAGCACATCATCGAATGTGTCAAGGCGAGCTTGCAACGTTTGCAATTGCAATATATAGATATTGTGATTATACACAAGGCTGACGCTATGTGTCCCATGGAAGGTGAGTAGCCTTTACCAACTTTAGATATTAACTAAAAAGTGTTTCCCATTGCAACTCTTTCACACAGAAGTCGTACGCGCCATGAACTATGTGATCCAACAAGGTTGGGCTATGTATTGGGGCACAGCACGTTGGTCCCATGTCGAGATCATGGAAGCCTACACTAACTGCCGTCAGTTTAATTGTATTACACCCATAGTGGAGCAATCCGAATATCATATGTTTTGCCGTGAGAAATGTGAACTCTACCTACCAGAGATGTATAATAAGATTGGTGTGGGCCTAATGGCTTGGGGACCGCTTTCAATGGCATTGGCTGATACTCAAAATGGTGAAAAACTATTCTTGCCAAAGGGATCGTTCAAGACGAAAAGTCAAAGTTATTCGTGGACAGAGGATGAGATCAACCGAAATGTAAGTGTGTTAATAAAATGATGGGAAGAAGAAAGAAAGAAACTAAACAAAACAAAACCAAAACCCAATTAAACTAAATTCTATGTTAAGTTATATAAAGTGTAATTTCTAGACGCTTCTCATTCGAAACCTTTTTCATTACAGGCGGCCTTATCGCCACAAGGCAGCTGGGGTAAAGACCGTGTTGATGAGGGACGTCGACACTGCGATCGTTTGCGTGATTTGGCAGCATTGGCCGAGAAATTGGGCTGCAGCCCAACACAGCTATCTATAGCTTGGTCACTGAAACATGAGCCTGTGCAATGTCTACTTTTAGGCGCCACCTCGGCTGAGCAATTGCATCAAAGCTTACAATCCTTGCAGGTGAGGTTTTCTTAAGTAAATATTAAATTCGCTATTTCGATTCAAAATGTTTTTTCATACATTTAGCTACTGCCACGCCTATCAACCAGCGTCTTGATGGAGCTGGAGCGTATATTAGAGAATAAACCGGTGCGGCCGCCAATGATATCGACACTCGCACTTCGGTGACAATCAGCCTGCCCTCAGGGGCCGCCTAGCCTCAGTGGCGGCGGCCCTTGCGGGGCAGAGTCACCGAAAAATGAGGAAGAGGCGTTCTGCGAGGAGGCGGATGCGAAGGATGCGTCAAAGCAGGGTTTCTGTGTTATTCAGTGACAAAAGGGGTCCTTAGATAACGATAATAAATTTTTGAAAGCGATTAGTAGTAAAACTAGTTTTAGTAGTACAACAATGACAACAACAATAAGCAAACATGATCTACAATTACAACAGCAACAGCAGCAGCAACAGCAACAACAATTGCTACTACTACAACAGCAAGAGCATACGCAGCAGCAATTACATGTGCATTACACAGACCAACAACAACAACAACAACAACAACAACAGCGTTCTTCACTTTTAACAAAACCAACAACCAATAAAAGTTTGTTATTTAATAATACCGTTAGTAGTTTAGTCGATAACACCACAAACATTTACCATTTAGACGCTGCAACGCCGACAGCAACAGCAGTAGCAACAGTCGCTACAGTTACATTAACACCATTGCCTAATACCATTACAACAACATCAACAACAACAACTACACGCTTAGATAGTGCAACCGCAATTATACAAATAGATTCGCTTAACAACAACACATCTAGCTTAAGTGTCACCACGAATGCCATCACAACGGCAACAACACCGACTAACAACAACGGCACCGTGTTGCTTACCACTAGCGATGGCGGCGAGACAGAACCGAAATCCCAAAAGCGTCGATCATTGCTCAACTTTAAATCCTTCGATTTCCACATCAAATCCCTATACTCTGGTTTGCGCAACGGCAACAAGCAATCCCACTCGCAGTCCTCTTCACTGGGTGGTGGCGTCGGTGGGAGCACAAGTAAAAGCGGCGGCAGTGGCGTTGATGGCGACGAGATCACTGACAATGCTAACGGCAGCGGATTACTTGGTGCCGATACGCTAATCGTGGGTAATCGTGGTGGCACTATCGCAATTAACAATCGCATGCCTCCCTATCTGAAAATCGAATCTGTCGATGCGGAGGAAGCGGAAAACCTACTGCTCGATTATCCACAATCACCGTACTCGTCACGTCGCAATAGCTCGCACGAGGACGAGAATCGTTCTAGCTCACAATTGTTGCACATTAATCGCTATGATATGTGCTCGCGCTCTCAAGCTAGTTCGCCTTCGCCTTACTACCTGTCGCCATATGCCATCGATTCGGGCAATATGCGACGCTCCTCTACGTCGGACATTATGTCGTGCAAGCGCAGCGGTACATCCAGTGCGAGCGATAGCCGTCGGCCGAGCACGAGCGATCTATTGCGGAAAGCGCGTGAGCGGCGCGGTAGCGAGGCGCGAATGGGCCGCAGCGTTTCGCATAGTGGACTGCCGCGTGGCGGACCGCGATTAGGAGGTTCGGGTGGTGGTGGTGGCGGCGGTGGACGACGTACGAGTATGGCATTTTAAAATGTGTGTCGAAAAAACAAAAAAAAAAAAAAAAAAAAAAAAAAACAAAAAAAACAAAAACAAAAACGAAAGCAAAACCAAAATCAAATAACACGTTTCAATGCAATAATTAAATTAAAGCAAAGTGTAGATGACATAAGAGAAAGTCAAGGCAATAAGTAAATATTTACTAGGCGATTTTAAGCGTGGTTGATTATATCGAGTTATGTGTTTTCTTGATGCACCACATCGTTATGCAATTAAGTGCTTATGAATTTTTAAATTTAAATTAGAAAAATTGAAAATTATCATAATGATAACTAGTCGAGTAATTATAGCATAAAATATATTAATAAAAATATAAAAAAAAATACTGAAGCTTAAATTATTTATTGACTTAACTAAATTATTAAATGAAATATGCATATGTAGGTTAAATTCAGAATATAATGTAATGAAAATAATAACATTTAAATGAAAGACAAATATCTCAGACACGGTCGCTAATAAATTTAACTGCATTAAAACCCTCTAAGCCAAATTTATTTAATTAATATTATTAATTATACGAAAATTGTACAAGACCAGGCGTCAACAAAAATGTATTCTTCACACTTTGTCAACATACGAGGTCACCTACGAGTACATATGTATGGATATCATAATCAGAGTTTTGCTGAAATGTTAAAAAAAAAACATTATGGCATTTTTATATTCAGTTTTCATTCTTATAAGCTGCATAATACGCCCACACAGTGTCTCACAGATCTGGCATGGAGCTGCAGCCAAATACATATTAACCCTACTCGATCAGCTGATGGGCAGTAACAATCAATTTCATGTTAATCGAAAAATTTTAATCGGTTTGCTTGAAATATTTGGAAATATTAACCTTACAGCAGTTATCGAAATAAATTTATTTTCACTTACACGCGAGACGATATGCTATCATTGATGTTAAGTCGTTAACAGTCAATGTTAAGCGTTAACATTGAAATGTGCTGTTAACATCATAGCAAGCATTAAAATTAACATTAACGTTGATTTTTGTACGGTTTCAATGTCAACGATTTTCATTTCGTTAAGTTAATTTTGCCTGTTATCGAAACGGGGTTTGCTGAGTATCGCTGGCATTAATATTACCAATTTTTACTAAATCGAAAGAGCGCAATTTTGACATTTTGTTACTGGCTAATACTAACTAACATTTCTCACCGAACAAAGCTTTTAACCACAAAACTTTATGTATATTTTCTATTCACCCGTGTTGGAAGAAGTGGTTGGAAAAAGCGCGCTTCTTTATCTGCCATTTGCCTCTGTTATTTTCTCGAACATTAACTCTGTTCGGTAAGAAAATTAACCATAAACCGGAGAATAAGATATTTTACTCTTTCAAAAAGAGCAAAATTATTTATTTTGACGATTACATTTCAATCTGTTCATTTATTTACATAAATAGGTTATGGTCTACTTATTTTAGGTATTTTAATAATGTTTACTTTTATATACCATTTTTAAGTGATTAATAATTCAAAAATTATTGAATGAAACAACGATGAAATTCTACATGTTTCATGCATACTAAAAGAATACCATTAACAGCCCTATTCTGTCGAGGTAACAAAATTTAACTAAGTATTAAAATTTGCCATTCAGTAAATTTTGTTACCATTTCGTATTCTGAGCTCCCTGTTACCCTGTAAATTTTGTTACCAGCGAAAAAAGAGGTAACAAAAATATCTGCTGTTTGATTTTGTGTTGTAACTTTGAGAAAAAATAAAAAACCAAAATGGGTAGGCTTATATTAAACCTGGAATTCATTAAAGGTGAAGAAAAAAGTACAAAAAGCCAGATTTTAAGAAGTTTTCGAGACAAAAAATATCCCTTTGATTTGTAAGATATGGCTTTTTTTTTGTCCGGGCATATTTTCCATAATTAGGTTCAAATATTTATGATTTAATAAACAAATTAATAAAACTTTCTAATTTTTTCGTGCACCGTCTTCCATTTCGATGTGAATATTCTTCTTATTTACTTTACTAACTGGCAAATGTAATTTGACATGGACGAAAAAAGCAGTGCTGCCAAATTTTTTTCAAACATTGTAACCAGTTCGCAAGAATACCAAATTCAATTTCGGGTTTTAAAGAAAAGTAACAAAATTTACTTTACCGGTAACAGTGAGAATAGGCCTGTAAATATGATATTTTTGTTAACTGTAAAAATGTAAAACGTGCTTTGCAAAATTTTGTCGCTTAGATTTTCAAAAAATTTGCTTGAAACTCGGGAATGAGCTTCGGAAGTATTTTGAAAATTACAAAATTTCTCGAATTCTTTTTGATTAAAATCCCAGCATATGCAACAGCAGCTTTATTTTCCCTTTTAAATGCGAAACTTTGCCGTTCCGTGGGGTTAATATGAAAATTAAACTGAAATTGTTTCGTTTCGGTGCCATGTTAGAGAAACGTAATGACATTGCCAATGTTAAAACCACACAAACTCATCTCATTAACGTAAAGTTTAAAATGTCTGCTTGCTGTGTTATTAACAGCACATTTCACTGCTAACGTTTAACATTAACTGTTAATGTTTTAACATTATTGGTAGCACTGCATTTCAGGGTAAAGACGAAATGAAATTTAATTTGATAACTGCTTTAACGTTTCAATTGAATTTTTTTTATTTTAACGTATAAATTTATTAAGCAGCCTTGAATTTTACTGAAAATAAAAATATTTTATGCTTTCAATATTCTTAACTACCAAAAATCAGTCGTACCAAGATCAATTGAGCCGTCAAATTTACTACTGTTACAACAGCGGACAGATCGGCGTATTCAAAGTTTTACGAAGAAATAAAATTCGAACTAAATTCGAGTATATATATATATATATATATAAAATACTCGTAGTGTAAGAAGAATGGATTTTTTTGAGTCTAAGTGTCGAACTAAAAAGTATGAAATGGGTTTGGTTTGAACGATAAAATCAAAAAATAATAAGTGAACAGACATGTCGAGGAGGAAATCGATTTTTAAAGCCGATGAAAAATAAAACTTGTTTATTTTGTCAGCGAAAGGAAAAGGAAAGTTGTTCTTTTCAATTAGTTTTCATATAAATTTAGTTCTCAATTTAGCACACAATAATAATTGAAATTATTTTAAAATTTTCTGTTAAATTTTATAGACTTCGTAGAAAAATTATCAAAATAAATATAATTTAAAATTAGTAATTTTGCAATCGTTCGCAAAAAGATGAGATTTGGTCAACTTCAAGCGTTGGATTGACTTTAGGCACTTCGTATGGCGTCAAAGATCAAGTCAGGCAACCTGTCAAAATAAAAAAAAAAACAAATTTTAAGGTTTTATTTAAAATTTAACAATTTTTTTTTAAACAAATCAAATTTATTTCAGATATCAGAATGAATTAAGTTAAGTTCTCGAAGCAAATAAATGGCAATAAGTGAGAATTGAACGTTCTTCAATAGATTAATACCCTGGGAAGTGGAACGTGATTTTGATTTTCTTTTTTGCCAGAATTTCCTTTGTGTTAAGAAAACACTTTAATTCAGGGTCTTGCCATTTAATGAAATTCACCTAATATTTACTCTTCAGCTCTCCTGATTATCAAGTATCTTCTTCTTTTTCATTAATATACGTGGTGTCTCGTATTATAGCCAGTCAATAGCGCGTCATTCGTTCCTTCTCTTCGCTGTTTGGTGGCTTCACCAAGTGAAACCATATCGCCCTCCACCTAAGCCTGCCTTCAGAGTAGAGATCTTCCTGTTCTTCTGCTTCCACCAGCGGGTACTACATTTAATACTTTCAAAACTGTAGTATTTTCATCGTCTAACCCATTCAGCTCATCGTTACAACATTTACCCAATTCGCCGTAAATCGTTATCAAAGTTTTTCTCTCGAAGATTCTGAAAACCGACTCATCGGATGTTGTCATCGTTCACGATTTCCGTGTACAAATGACTGCAAGCAAAGATCGTTTACGTCCCAGTGGAATATTTAGGGCATACAGCAATCATAATAGCTGGTGATAATATTGAATCCGAACGGTTACCTGAGCAAATTTTGAAAATAAGCGCTGATACAGACAGCCGGCACCTCGCGGTGAAATAATTTTTAACTCAACTAGTGGCTAGCAATACATACTAACATTCGGTTTTATTATTAATATTGGTATTATTAACGGTATTCATTATACAATTTTCAATCCTTAATTCAATATTCTCAAACTTTTATATGTGAATCATATAGATATGTAAATTGCATGACCTTGACCCAGTTTTAGATAATTTCTATAGCATATGAAACTCTCAAATCGACTAATAGTTATGTATGTAAGTATATAAAATCGTACAATATATATACATACATATATTTAATTTTTTCGACAATACAATTTTTTTGAGAGCGAATTTGTTGAATAATACTTTTGCTTATAGGTAATTTATTATATTTTCGGTTAGTTTATTTCAAAAACTCTTTTCCAAAAATTTAACCTCAAATAAATAAGAAATAAATAGGATTATATCTAAACAAAATGACAACATCAATTGGCTTAGAAAAAAATATGATAAAATTTTATAAATAAATTTAAAAAAAAATTTAGCATAAAAATATTGCAATTCTTTGTTGACAATTTAGAAATGTATATACGAAATAACTTTCAAGTGAATAATGTAAATTTGAAAAATCTTAATGAAAAGTGCGAATAAGTAGTTATGCTAAGAACACCTTAGTTATGCAATGGCGAAAAATATACGAATTTCCAAATGACAACAGAAGCAAATTATTTTCCTCATACACATTTTTGCACTTTAAATGAAGGCAAATTCAACGAGAAAAATTTATTAACTAGTAATGGATCAGCATAAACACTTTGAGAAATTAATAAATTAAAAATAATAAATTGAACATCATTATTAAATACATATATAATGAATATAAAGTTCTTTCTCACATACGGACTGTGATTTGTTGTAAAATAATAACAGTTGAAATTTAGCTCGTACACTAGCTACATACATATATACGTACGTAAATGCATACACAAAAAAAAATTAAAGAAAAAAAATTAAAGAAAAAAAAAACGTATAGAGAACGAAAAATTCAATAAAGTAGATAAATATAACGGTTAGAAATTAGTGCAAAATAAAAGAAATTTTTTCTTTAAATTAATTAATAAATTTTTTTAGAAATAAATAAGGTTAAATTACAAAATTTACATGCAGCATTTTTGAATTTAAAATGTAATTGAAAAAAAAAATCACTTGCAGTAGAAAAAAAGTGATGATAATAAAGCGTATCAACTGCATACATCTAATATCAGCTGCCGTTAAAGCAGCAGTAAAGTTGTTCAATTAAAAAAAAAGAAACATAAGAATACCGAAAATATTATTAAAATTACAAAATTTCTTTTCGTTTGCCTTATATTCAGCTAAATTAGTAGATATTAATTGTAAGATATGAAATTGAACATGAAAAGTTTAATGGTACATTAAGGAAAAATCAAAATTTGTTAATAATATAAAATACATACCGGTAGTAAAATTCACCTACTTTCTTAAGACGCGCTTCTTTGTAATTGGTAACTCCGTCCTGCGGCGTCAAGTGAACTACATACATTCACATACACCAAACTGCAACTAAATTAGTGTTTCATTATTATTTATTAATTATGATCTTAATATTCAAAATTTACATATTTTTTTCAGAATATTGCTTTATTGGTTGATTATTAATTTTCTAGCTTTTCAAATATAGTGAAGTTTAAAAAATTTACTAGAGATTGGTCCCCATCAGATTTAGTCAAACCACGTTTCATAGAATAATTGTTTGCTCTTGATTATTTAAAGCGTTTTTATTTATTATAAATTCAATATACATACATACACATGTACGCATGCATGCTAGTAATCCAAAACCTACAATTAATTTCAATTCCAGAACTTTTAACATTTTTGTGTCAGATTTGGGTAACTAAATTTTGATACGTAAATAAAAAAAAACAGCTGATATGACATTGTTTAGACGCGGAGCATAAATTATGGCCTAATTTTGGGCGCTTGCTTATTGATTCCTGCTATTTGACTTTTTGCTTTCTGGCATATTTTTTTGTTTCGAGTGCCTGTTGAAGTGAGGAGCCCGAAACCAGCAGTTAAATTTCACGATATGATAAATTCGTTTGAATTTAATGGACCTCCTATTAAATGTTATTTAATATTATATAAAAGGTGACTGTGCTGCGAAGAGGAAGCAAGGAGCAACGTAAAACAGTTGTTCCAAACGTAAATAAAGGAAATTTTCTTAAGTTTCTCTCAGCAATATGGCGCACAGAGGCTTCTTCAAACCTTTCCTCAAGCTCAAGCTCACGCTTAGACATGGTCCTGAAAAGGCAGAAAACAACACTTTATGAGTTATTTCTTGTGCTTAAAAAACAGTTCCGGAATGTTCCAGCCGATCCAAAAATGGAATGTTCGCGGTTCGAATTTTTGAGCAGTCACAGACTTGCCTGACCGTGTGGATTTTTTTTTGGTTTTGCAAGTAACTTGAAAATACGTTTTTATTTTTATTTTTTGTTGTTTTTGGGTTCAACTGTTTTTTTTTTATTTTATCTTTTCAAAAGCATACCATTTAAGAAGAGAATGTAAAATTACGAAAAGGACCGAGTGCGAATAGCATGTGAACTGCCAGCGTCGACGAAAGAAACTGCCGCCTGAAACTGACTCTATTTGTCTACATTTCTGAGCAAGATTATAATAAATTAGTAAAGTAATTGTCTCTCAAATATCATTCTTCTGTAAATAATTTGTCAGTCTCTGGTAGTTCGCTGTTAACTAACGGTGAAATAGTCTCTTAGCAATCCCATGGTTGGAACAAATGGCAATCGGCACGCCCCGGTCTTTCTCTCCGTTCTCTGGTTTGAGAGAGTTAACAGAAGAAGTAAGAAAACTGTAAGGAAAATGCTAGTATAAGTCTTTTCAACTACCATCTCTATGATAATTGGTGGTCTAATGACCGGTTTCACATTGTCCGATTAACTTAGTCTTCAATCGAATGATAGCTAACCCCCTGATAGGCCGATTTGAAACTCTTGTCACTTTGCTATGGTTATCTATCTTATGGTTAGTTTAATCATTTTGGCATGACAGCTAGTTTTATTTCCAAATAATTTGGTTAAGTGAGTTTAAAGTTCTTCTGTTTTATTTTTTATTTTCACTTCCTTTTTTGGTTAATAAACGAAAACAAAATTGTAATTTAATGAAATTCATTTTATTTATTTTTATTTAGACAAAAAGACTTCGATGATTTCAAATTACATGTATAGAATATACATATGTTATATAACCATATTTATATCATCCAGATTAGAGTCTCTGTTCTCGATAGCGATATTGTGCAACACTGCATAGTGCTGAGTAAAACTCTCAATCCAATGGATAGGCAATGGAAAAGATCGTTTCATACTCCAAAGCACCTTTCCTGCAAAATCAAATAAGTTATCAACAATGTTTATTTCCTCAAAGAACATTATTTTTATAAACCTTTAAGTGTGGCTTTTCATTTTTTTTCAAAACTTATTTTAGTCAAACTCTGAAAAGACGAATTCTCAATTTCTTAAAAAAATTTACTCATTTGTCCGATAAGCAGTGCGTTCCATATTTTCCATGATTAAATATAATTTTATTTATTATTTTACCATTTGCAACTGTCAAATTATCTAGTGGTGAAGAGCTAATCCACCACTCAATGTTGGCGCTAAGTTAATCACAACTCAATTTGCCGATGCGCCTTAACTGGACACTGTGAAAACGAATTTTATGTGTGCTACCTTCCGATTATGTTCGTCAACGTGAATTACATTGTTCGTTCTTTCAATTACGAACGCGAATTACTCCATTCACACGGCACGCAATTTCACAGTTTACTGTTCGCTGGTTTGTTGCATTTGAAAACGTAGAGAAAATTAAAGTTTTTAGTAAAAGTGAAAAAAAACATTGAATTGAATCCGACAAAAAAATGCATTAAATCAACACATTCAATTAAAATTATACTACATTTCTCTGCTTATAATTTCAACAAGTTTAATAACCGCCTGGACAGCTGAGATTAATTTTTCTTTGAAAAATTTTACGTTTTTAATATACAGTTTGTGTTTGGCTGCAAATAAATTTCTCTGTTATAGTTGTTTTTGTTTTAACCGCAAAATATTCCCCGAATTGTTTTTCGGAACATATTGCGTGAATGAGACAGTCCTTCGGCATAAAGATGATGGATTTTAGGTATGTCTTACCACTTGTAAATTCTTGAGCAGTTTATCCGCAGCTGTTTTAGTTGTTTTCGTTTCTGGTTTTCATTTTTTTTTTTTTTTTGATTTGCTAGCTGTGTTCCATAAATTCCTTTTAAAAATTAGGCAAGAAAACGATTTCATCGTAATTCGCATGATAATTGAGAATGAACTACGCACTTTTGGCGTAATTCGCTGTCAAATATTTGTATGGCGAATTAAGTAATTCGATAAAGAGAACGAACAACGTAATTGGCGTGCGTATTATGTTCAGTGCTTAACTGGAGCTAGTGAAAACGGCTGTAAATATGTCGGTTACTTGCATGCAACCTTAACTAACTTCAAATTATCTAAACTCCATCATCAGTTTGGTCTTTGCAATATTTTCTACTTCTTTTTATTAAGTTTTAACACATTCATTGTTGTCACATTGACAATAGATAATTGAATAAAATATGTACATACATATATTGTAAAATACCTACGGCAAAAGGCAAATTGTAAATAAAATATTAGTATGCAATTAATAAAATTATACAAATACACATACTGTAAACATACACGATGAAATAAATTTAAAAAGTCGCCAAAAATACTTACACACATACATACATATGTATATGTATAATATAATTGTTACATATATGTATCTCCAAAGCAAAATGAAGCAAAAAACAAAATATTAATAAATCTTTAAAGCAATTTTTCAACTTTCTAATCAAGCAAATAAACATTAAAACTCTAAATGAAGCAATGAATGATAGAAAAAAAAATTTAAATTACAAATAAATTGTTGATATTAAACAAAATGCAAAGCATTCAATTTTACTTTATAATCTAAGTGCTATAAACAGCTTAAGTCATTTAATTAAAAATATACTAATTAAAAAATAAATAAATAAATAATAATAATAGCAATAAATACAACATGAAGAAATGCGTAAGTATGCTATGAGTATTCAAATAAATGCAAGTGCCAGTAGCCAGAAGAAGATTTCTTATATACATAGATACATACTCATATTTTATTTATAGTATAAAAAGTAAATAAAAATTTATTAAAGTAATTAATATCAAGACTCTATTATGCGGTAACTCAAATTAATATATAAAACCAAAACAGTTTATAGGCATTACCAATACATACATACATACATAAAAGTATAATACCGATGGTACGAAAATAAATATATAAAACACCTTATGCAGCAACAACCAAAGAATAATTTCTTAATAGCAAAATGGCAATAATTATCGCTGATGAGAAAGAAAACGTAAAGATTTGATAAATCTATCAAATGGGCGTGTATCATTGAATTCTACAAGTATTTAGCGACTCTTTCGTCATATTCAAATGTTAAACGAAATAAAGGTTAATTTTAAAAGCACAATATAAAAGCAACTTGACTTGGCAGTAAATTTCATTAAATACATACGAGTACAATACTTGTAGAAAATACAACTACAACAATAATTAAATAAAGAAATAAAAGTTACAAATTCGTATTGCAACTTGAATAACACACAAACATATACATACATACAAACATACATATGATACATACATACATATGATACATACATACATATGATAAATATGAGCAATGCGTACACATAATCAGCCAACACGAATAATTATTTAAAAAATACCAACATAATTGACATTTATAAGAAAATTATTGTATTAAATTAATTAAGAAAAAAATAATAAGGCTTTATGCTTTGCTTCATATGGAAAAAATATTGCTCAAGTATTATAACACAGTTATATTATGCTTACTTTTACTAAAGTTGTTGATTGGTTAAAGCTTAGCTGAAAGCTTGTTTAATAATTTCTTAAAATTTTCTTCTACTGAAACTAGTTTTATCACTTTCACAATTATTTACGGTATATTCCATTTGCGTTGTCAAGAAATGTTGTCAAAGAATACAACAACAATGTTTAAATACAATTAATAATAATCACTAATAATGATTATACGAAAAAAAAGAAAACTAAACTAAAAGGAATCTAATGTAATTAATAAAATTATTATCTTTCACTTCAAAATTTATGTGTTTGATTTTGAAATGGTTCAAAAATTTGCGAATTGGCTACCACGCCTTGTCTATGGTACGAAAATATAGATTTCTCGTTCTCGGGCAGCAAACATTTTTTACATCATTTTTACCTAAAACCGAAAGTTTTGTAAATATTTTTTTATCTTTTATTTAAAACAAATTGAATTGAATATAATTAAATTTTTAAAACTAAAGGTGCCGGCAAACTTCGTACCGCATCAACTTCACGTCTGCAGATAAACTCAATGTGAAAATCTGTTAAGCGTTGTTTAGAGCATAGTCGGTGTATGGAGGAAGCATTTCTCCAGCAAACCCTAAATTCCATTCGAAGCTGAAAGAGTCGAATGAAATAGCTCGCGCACCTCTTCGGGTCCGACGAGGCGCTGTTACCGAATGAAATTTTCACGCGGTCATCGCATCTCGTCGTTAACTGTAATTTGCCAGTAGCCCAGATTTTGGTTACGCCAGAGAAGAGATTGCCTCTCAATTTTTCCGCTTATTGAGATTATAAGCGTGTTGACTTGTCGCCGAATCTCGTGATTGAGATCCCTGATATCCCGCATAGATGCTAGTAGCGCTGCTTCAGTCGGAAAATTTGGACGTATTTCCGCAAATCGTACTGCCGGGATGAAAGTACGTTCACCCGGCTGCAAGGTAAGTTAGAGTGGGGAGATCACTTAAGGTGTTCCCGGGGAAATTCCGTGAATCCAGACTTGTTATCTGTTTTAAGGTTCACGAGCGTCCGGTGGTTCACGGAAAGTGAGTTCAAGTGGTTCTATGACAGTGTCAGTATAGGTCGCCATATATTATTTATCAGACCAACACTCGCAATTGTTATGTCTGACGAACTTTGGGAATTATCCACAACTCTGGTTGGGGGTTTATCATTCATTATGCCAAATGTAGAAAATTTCATGCTGCGGGGAGTTCCGTGAGACTGTAGAGGTCTGTTAGTTACCCAAAATAGGTAGAGGTGCTGAAGGCACTGTCATAGAGGCTGGGGGCGCACTTGGGCGCTGACAGCATGGACCCACGTAACTTGTGGACCACTCCCTGTGGGTCTTAAGGCCTGAGCAGATCTTACGATGAATCCACAGATTGCACTGGTTGCACCTAACCGAGGTGGAGAAGTAGTGGAGTCTTTTAAGGCACACGTAGTAGAAATAATCCGTCAGACCTGGGTTGGTATCGACGCCAGCCCTGATGAGAAGAATTTAGAGCAGCCCATCTATGAGGTGTTGCTACGTTGGCGTACCTAAGTTAATGTTACCTGTTGACCTAAACGGAGTTAGGTCGCCGAAAGGGCGGGTCAACTCCGTTGCCCACAACTTGGTGGGGGCGGTATCATTCATAGTGCAGAATGTTAAATCGTCCTACCAGCTTCATCTCTCTACGGACATTTTACAGGTTTTAATGCCAAAGATCGTGATCCACGTCAAACTCGCCTAAAATCAAGCGGGTTTTGTCTCTTAATAGCGCATCTATAACATGGTAGTAAGGCTGCTGGGAGCTCCGTGAGCCCGTAGAGGTCTGGGGATGGTTACTCAGAGTGGGTAAGGGTGCTGAAGGCAACGCCGTAGACGGTGGATGCTCGTTTGAGCGCTAGTAGAATGGTGCCACGTAATGCGTGGACCGCTCCCAGTTCGTCTTAAGGGCTGACTCCAGCCATTGCACTGGTTGCATCTTATCGAAATGCAAGAGTGGTGGAATCGTTTGTGGCGTTGTTTTCTGGGCACCAGCCCTAATGAGAAGGATTTGTAGCAGCCCTGTCGCGGGGTTAATCCGTGGATGCACTTAGACTAACGCTACCTGCTGACCTGCTGACTTAGGTCACCTTGGCCCTTGGCCGGATTAAATCCGGAAATCCAGTGTGTAGTACCGGCTATCGTGAGAGTGGAATTCCAGGACTAGGCTCTTAGCAGATTTCGCAAGGTTCCAAAGTTTTCCGTTTATGTCCAGTTCATCAACCAGCTACGGGAATCAGACAGACAAGTGCACGTTTTCAATTTGCTCATTGGGGCAAATCTGTATGTGGTAAGCCTCAAACCCTTACACTTTAGCTTTCCCCCAAATAGATGACTGCTTGCTAACCAGAGGATACTGGTAAAAACAAATCAAAAAAATATTTAATAACTACATTGAAATCATTTAAAAAGTACAATTAAAATTAGAAAGTTGTTCTCACGATTTTTTTTTCAAATTATCTTTTATTTCTACGAACTTAAGAGGAAAAATATAAAATGCATTTCACTGAAATTTGCTCTAGAGAAAATTCAATTTTATAATTATAATAAGGAAGAAAAGTTTACAGTTCACCAGATTTTTAAATTTTCACAAATTTTTTAGTCAATAATGATTTGTGGTAAAAAACTAATATTCACTGGTGCAGGTTTTAGTTGCATGAAAAAAAATATATAAAAATATATACACATTAATATTCGTCTTTCAATTAATAACAATCACACTCTTCGTTACGTTCAGGTCGTCAGAATTTATATATCTCTTCATAACTCGACTGGGTGCTTCGTTTTCATATGGCGTGTATAGGCATATTTTGCTGGATATTGTTTTGGGCAAATTTCGCAACGAAAAGGAAAGAAACCCATATGTATATTAAGATGCGATTTCAATGTAGCGAAAGAGCATAATTTTTTTTGGCAGACTACGCACTTGAAATACCACTTTGTTTTCCGTGTATCACCACCACGGGGTATTTTTAACCACAAAACATCTTGATAGCTACGATAGAATCGCGTATACCACATTGTGCCCTCATCATAGAATCTTACAACAACATTGATTCGAGTATACCGCTCTATGGGAGTATTAAGTAATTTTATTTTCAATGCGTTTACAATTTGTTCTTTTATAAGATCATCGCCAACGCTAGCAACTGTCTGCCGACGCTTTTGTATAGCTAACGGCTCCGGAGGCTTGTCGACGCAATACCTACTTTCATTATCTTTCGAGGTTGACAGATTGCTTTGTAGAGCCTGTGCAGTTAATGCTTGAGTGTTAGTATATGGAATACTTGAGTTACGTCGGCATATTATAGTATTTGCATTGTTATTAAATGGTATGAATGAACTGCTGTGTACAGTTGTTCGAGTTGTTTTTGTGACAGTTTGTCTAGATTTCCCATCTCGTTTTTCCTTAGAAGCTGTGTGTTGAATTTGCGTTCCATTGTATGAAGAAGACACCTGGAAGAAAATAAATAGCAAATTTTATTGCAAAATATTCTTCAAAGCTGAGGCACGTGTACTATTACTTACTGTTGTTGCAGTTCTATTTGAGAAAGAATCCTGCGGACCATCTTGCGCCTTGTATTTAAGATATTGCGAACGTAAGATCTTTTGGCAGACAATTTACTTATTACAATTTTTTAAATATAGTGATATAATGAACGCAGATACTTACACGCATTTTTCAAAAGGTTGTAATTAGCAAACTGTTAACTGCGTAAACTTTTGAAAGAAATGTTAAAAATATTTAATAGTATTTACATTGAATGAATTTCGATGTAACGGTTATCACATACCGTGTATCAGTAATGCCAAGTTATTTAATACTCACACTATCGCACAAAGCGGCTTTCAAACTGTTCCATCATATTGTGCTTAAGGGGTTGTCAGACATAGTAAATTGAAGTTTCGTTTAGCCTCCCACTATGAAATCTGTAAACAAGGCGAATTCAGCATGCCAGTGCTAGAACGTCAATGAAACTTTCACTCTATGTTTTACTAAACAACACGAGCTCTTATTTCACGAATTCACATCGTAGTCAATTCATCTTGAATTTGTCATTTTAACAAAATATGCATATTCACATATATTAATTTTTTTAGGTGAAATAGTAAGTTTCATTTTGACGTTGTTGCACTCGTGAATGTCTAAATTCGTTTGTATCGTTTTTGCGGCCATCTGTATTGAATTCGCCTAGCATCCGAACTTGCCTTAATGAATATGAGCTCTGTTGTCGTTTATTGATAATTGTATAGCTGTAAGAAAATTGAATTAACAAATAAATTAACCCTCTATTCTTTCTTGTTGTATCAATTGTTGAAAAAATTGAAAAATTAAGTTTCAGCGCTGGATTTCAATTAATCAAAATCACAGCGATTTTCATTAATTATTTTGCATCAATCGATATTTTCGACTTTTTGTTTGTCATCTCAGAGAATAGCAAAAGTTTCATTTTGCATTTAACAACGGTTTGTGCGTTTTGCACATTTCTTCATTTGATTCTTCAGTTTGTCCATTTTATAATTCAATGTACGGGATAATTACCAAGATTTGCAAGACATAGAATATAACCGTAAAATTAATTGGTACCGAAAATTGTTTTTGCGTGTTGAATATTGGGCTGTGGCCAGTGGCAGCGGCGAAGTAAAGGCACAGAGTAAATAGTGAAAGCGCATAGCGACGACAACTTTGAAGGCGTTGTTCTTGGTAAGTGATTCCAGCTATTCGAATGCGCCTCTTTTTTTTTTATAAAACTGACTAGTGTTGGCTTGTTTCCCTGCTAATAATTTTGGTTTTAGTCTTGTTCAATAGTGTGCTATGGAGTTGAACGCAAGTGACAAAATACGGAGATTTTGCTATCTCGGCAGGTTAGATCCCGTTTATGGACACTTACGTGGTACTATTAACGTTTCCTTTTATCGACCACAACTGGAGGTTCTTTGCAAGTCACTAGACCACAATACAATGCTGATAATTTTGAAGCAAGTTTTACAGGAAACTACGCTAGTGCGACGTGATGAAGTGATTATGAAAAATATTAATAATTTACAGTTTATAATTCTGTTTTTGCATCCTATAGCCGCTTTTTGTTTACGCCGTTTACCTAGCTAGTGACGTTGACATTGTTGAGAAGACAGCTTTAAGAAAAGTCTTTCCGGCATTAATACAAAATGATGAGGACCTTTTCTTATTTTGTAAATATGCCATTATCATTCAACGAGAAAGGAATCACAAAGGCTTCACTAATACAGTGCGGAAAGCTATTAACTCTTGGTATGAGAGCCAGACGCCCGATAATTTACATCAAATGTGGCTTTCGCATCGTGGCGGACACGGTTTCACACACCAATCACTTCTTAAGTTGTGTCACGTCAATGATGACACAATTGGTGCTGCTGGTGTAGTAACGCCATTTTTTAAAACTTGTACTGAGTTACTTAAAATGTCGGAAGGTAGTGAGAATGCTGTAGACAAAGAAGAAAAATCAAAAAGTAGCACAGAAACTACAACCTCTGCAATTTTGTCTGTAAGCAAACTTCGAACAACAAACAATAAAACAGAAGCGCTAAAGATTATACGAAAGTTCAAGTTACGCTACAATCAAGTTCCAATACATTTTCTAAGATCCGGTCCTATTATGGAGGCTTTAATACCAACTATGACACTTAAACAGTTGTTGCTTAGCTGGCGTTATTTGGCACGTTACAATCACTTTGAGAATCCAAAGGTAATGAAATTGTGCCGATCAGTTTTCGAAAATAAGAAATTACTTCGCAAAGACAACATTCATCCTATTGTATTGTTGATGCATATGCGTGATTTGGGTATTTGTGATGAAAAATCTAAAGTAAGTCGATTTATAATTGGATATAAAAAACTTATAAATACAACACTTCTGAATTTAACTTAGCTAACACCGAAAAGAGCTGAAGCGTTGAAAATATCACTACTTAAGCCACTATACCAGCAGTCGTTCGGTAATAATGAGAGCACCGGCTTACGAATGCACATCACTATAAATATACAGAAAAACTATAAAAAAAGTAAGAGTTTGTTATTTGCACAACTCTAGGTATATTGCACAAAACTAAAACAATAATATTATTTTTAATATTTGTAGAAACTCTAAAAAACCACAAAAAATTGGCTTATCTCGAGGCTGCAGTAGCATTAGCTTTTGGCTATTTTAAAAGAGAAAAGGAAGTTAATGTATTTTATTGGGCAAATGATAAGCATAAGTTAGGACATTTGCCATGGAATCATGAATATATTTCCATTGATGAGGCGTTCAAGCTTTGTGATGCATTGGAGGTAAGTCTCAGCGACGGATAGCAAATAACTTATAACTTTGTAAGTTTCAAATATATACATTTATTTTAAAGATTACTGGCACCCCACAACGTCTCATAACGCCGATTATGCGTGCTATGGATGCTAAACAGGTGTACGATGTATTCTTAGTTATTGTACCGAATGCCGGACGTGGTAATCCTAAAAACAGTTCAGAACTCTTGACTAAATTTTTGGATAAATATCGCCAAACTAGAAATGAGAAAGCAAAGTGAGTTTATTTGTATGGAATATGCAATTACTTCGAATTAAAAAAAAAATTAAAATGTCCTTATTGTAACAGCACATGTATGTTTTTTTTTTTAATCTTAATCTTAATACCCCAAATTCATTCAAACTGATTTCTTTTCTAGATACGTTATTGTCGACTTGCTCAAATTTCGCAAATCGATGCGTTATTCCGATACACGCAATGAAAATATACTTGAAATTTGCGGTTTAGACGATCATACTACGAATTTGATAAATAATTTTGCATTAAATCGTTTTGGTTGAAGTTACATACAAATAATATTGATACCATTGGCGCAGTGCGTTAACAAAACAATAACAGCAAAGGAAAAGATAACAAAATATATTTGCTATACTTGGCAAACTGCGAAAGCGATTTAAGCTAAACTTATTTAACTGTGTGTGAAGCATGGAATCTCGTAAGTGCACACGAATTATAATTAACCGACTTATGTATTACAATTATATCCTAATGATAATATTTAAATGTTTAACATACATAAATACAATATGGCGAGTTTAACTAACTACATGATTAATAGTAGCATAGGTTTTAGAACGCATAATTATGAAGAGAAGTTGTAGATAATAATGGATATTAATTTTATTTTATTTTTTTTTTCCTTATTATGTAGAATAAGTTTTTTCTATTTCAGCCACTGAGCATTACAAATTTATGAAGCAAATTTTTTTTTATCATTATTATTTTCAAGAATATCTCATTAAGCGGTTTGATTGTTTATTTATATTGTTGAATTAATTAAAGTATTTAAGTTTTATACTTGTCTCAATTGTTTTACATGATTTTCTATATCATATAATTAATACTAGTTAAATTAGTAACGTTTTAAACGCACTTCAAACTAATTAAGTATGAAATAAAACCAAACAAAAACAATATAAATGAGAATTTGAAGCCAAATGTTACTGGAAAATTAATACAATCAAAATCAAAATTAATATCGAAAAAATCATAAACGAAACGTCTACCCATATGGATGCTATACTGAAATGCCTTAAAAATAAAAAATCTCATACGATTCGAAATGCAAACTACCACTTAAGTTAAATCTAATTAAATTAAATTATTATACTTTATTAATATACTACTACATAGGTATGTAAAGAAGTAATGCAAAATGATTAACGAAATTATTTACAAAGTCTTTACCATTGGCACAAGTTAGTGTTGCAAACACATTACACCAAAAGAAAAAAAAAAAAAAAAAAATAAATAAATAATTGAATTTATAAAAGTCGAAATGTTTATATAGAAATAGAAATACATAAACGAAAGTTGAACTGATACTAAAAATGAACTGATTCGAAAAAGTAAATAGTAAACTGAACTGAAAATTACAAATTTTTGTTGAATATTTACAAGCGATTATTAGTTGAGAGGATTATACATATTTTTATTATTTAAAAATAAAACCAAACCTTAACTATACACAAAAATACACTGACACTAACATGGACATGTAAACACAAAAACACAAAGTAAGTTCCACCTTTATAAATAGTAAAATAACAGTAAATTAGTACTAGTACTCTCTATTTCATTGCAAAACTCATTTTAGTGGTGAGATAATTGATTTTATTCAAGCAATTATTTGCAAATATTCTAATTAGTAGAGAGCTAAGTAAACATTTAACACAGCAACTTAAAGAATCTCATGTACTTGTGTTAAACATACATACATAATCATAATCATAGATATTTATGCCAACTAATAAAATAAATTCCATATAAAAGAAAAAGTTACCTTGAGATATTGTTAAATGAAAATATAAAATAGCAATATGCACACATACATACATAAATACATACATATACATACGTGTATATATAAAAATAATGCTGCCAAATTTCAATTGAAAAGTTGCAATAAACCATCCTGCTGCCTAAAAAAAAAGTACATACACGTATTCGACCTAAAAACCATAGCACACAAAACACATTGAGGGAGATATTATATAGTTTAAATTATAGAAAAGAGTTTTTGATTAATAAATAAGCAACAAAACTGCAACCGTAACTGAATGAACAATAAACTAAATACATACACGCATACATACATTTCATGACCTAAAGTAAATAGTAAAATTTGTGTATTAACAAGAAACTAAAATCTTCGACTGCCTTTCAAAAACTGTTTAAAAAATAGCAACAAATAAACAAATATAGTTACAATTATTCAAAAAAAAAATATAAGAATAAAAAAAAATGTTTAGACTACGTGCCATTCACATAGAAAATTGCTAACAATAAACTGAAGAAGAAATAAAAAATGAAAAACCACAAATAAATTGAAATGTTAAATTGCTTACATTATTTTGTTATTAATACAATATACAAAAAAAAAAAATAGTGTTCGGCTGAATAGCAATGCAGTAAATTGTGATTAAAATTATTTAAAGAAAAAGTAACCATGAACAATAAATCTAATGAAAACATTTGAAAATTAGATGTAAAGATTACACCTTATAAATTTCTCCCAACATATTTATGGCGTACATTTATATGGTATTTATAAAATATAATTAAAATTAAAATTTACCATTCACACATTTACATACATGCTTTGTATGTTTATAGTTTTTATTTTTTATATAATTTAAGTTGTATATTTTGAAGAAGAAAAAAAGAAAAACGAAATAGAAATTTACAAGATTTCCAAAAAAAAGAAAACACTCGTCTGTGAAATAACCAGTTGTGATCGCTAAGAAATTTAAAGCAAATAAAAAAATTAAATGTTAAAAGAATGCAGTAGAAATTATTTTTAAACGTATTAAACAAATCCGACTAAAGTGTAAAGCAAAAGAAGAAGAAGAGCAGAGAAAAATAAGCGGAAACAAAATATGCATAAAAAAGTCAAAGGTCAAGCAAAAACGCTAATTTTTTTTACTGTATCCCATGAAATTCCAATAATACAAAATTAAAATATAAAATATATGGTAAACAAACAGAAACACACATAAGCAAAATTCCAAGTTAGGCAAAACTGAATATACAAACGTAAATAGTTCTTAAATAAATAAACAAATAAACGAAATAAATCAAGTGCAACCGAAAAGTACCTTTCAAAACTCCGAAATATCCTCAAAATTTTACAAAAGCGTATGCGAAATTAAGCAAAAATAATGAAACGAAATAGCAGTTAAATAAATAGTAATTTAAATATCATTATTTATGTGCGTTTGCTTTTCCTTTGTAACTAAAACTCAAAAAATATATATGTATATAAATACAAAAATTACGAAAATTATATATTAATTCTTACTGTAATCTTAAACAAACGAATAATGAAAAGTGAAATTTCCCCTTCATTCCTAAATTAAAAAAAACATATTTGCAGCTAAACAAATGCATACATATAAACACAAGGTGTTTTTTTGTTTTATCATACACAAGTAACACCACACACAAATATATACATACAAGCAATTGGACCCATAAATGTATCGAAATCATGCGAAATTAAGCAAAACACAATGTAAAACCATTAAAAACTGATGTGATATTTTTCAAAAAAAATAAAAGTATTAAGAAATAGATTAAAAATTAATAGCAAAGGGAAACGCGGACACATATTTGGTTCTTGTCAACACAAACACTTAAGATTTAAAATTTTTAAAATTTAATTTTTATAGATTTTACATATTCATGTTGATAGTATAAACTTAAATTGCGAGTTAAAAAAAAAAAGATTTTGTTTAGTTTTTCTTTTCTTTTTTATACGTTTATTCATTTCGCAATGTAGAATGCAGTATAAATTGTAAAGCTTTAGCATGTAAGCAGCGCAAATGCTAAACAAATCTTAAAAATAAATTAAGTTTCAACAAAAATAAATTCAAATCCAGCATGTATTTATCAGCATGGAATTATCACAAAAAAAAAAAAAAAAAAAAAAAAAATGAAAAGAAATTACAACTCTTGGTGTATTAATATAAAACTTATATAAGTATGTAAGCGTGAGAGATTTGTGACAAGAGTAAAAATACAACCTTCATAATTCTATCTACATATATACATAAACACATACATACATATAACTAGTTATTAGCATATAAAAAATCGAAATTATTAAATCTTAAGTGTGAAAGTTCTTGACATTTTGAAAAATGTAATAGAAAAGGTCAAAACACATAAATTCCTCCCAGAACAAAGAAAAAAAAAAATATAAACAAAAATAAAACAGCCTGAATAATTTTATATACAAAAATTCGAGGTGAATTAGCATATTTTCCTTTTCATAAATGAATTTTACTATTTTATCACATTTAATTTTACACTTTTATGACACATAAGACCCTTTAGTAATTTATTAAACACAAAATGCCTAAATTTGTATACAATACATTTGTATTTACAACAAACAAATATTTTAAATATTGTTTTTTTTTTGTTTTTGTTTTTCTTAAATACACACAAAACTTTTTCTAAGTATAACTGTTGCGAATTAAAATTAAGCAGACATAGAAAAACAAAAAATAAAATCCACATTCGAACTTAGAAAGCTGAAAAGCAAAACATCGCTGTTTTAATTTATTTATTCTTGTTCTTCTTCCTTACTGGCGTAAGCACCGCTTTTGGGATTATAGCTTTTCTCTCGAAAATTCCTAAAGCCGACTCATCAGATGTTGTTGTTGTTGTTGTAACCGCAAAATATTCCCCACATTGGTTTCCGGAGAATATTGCGGGTGTGACAGTCCTTGGCCGGATAAAAGACCCGATTGTCGCGGGATCCATTGGATTTTAGCCGCCTCTTATGACAGGCATGCCTTACCACGGGTAAATTTTTGAGCCTCCAACTCGCTGTGGGTTGGGGGTCAGATGTTTTCATCGTCCATGCCTCCGCACCATACTTCGAGGCGGCAACGATGAGCGACGTTGAGAGTTTGGTCTTTGTTCTTTCTAGAGAGGACTACACTTTTTAATTGGCAAGTGTGATTCTGCGTTGGACTTCAAGGGCTGGCATTGTTGTTTATGATAGCACTGGTTCCAAGAAAGACGAAGGTATCAACGATTTGAAAGTTATGGTTGTCAACAGTTAGGTGGGAGTCGAGTCTTGAATGCGATGATAGTTGTTGACAGGAAATATTTTTCTTTTTGCCACTACCAGACCCATTTCCTTCGATTTCTTATGCAGTCTGGAGAAAGCAGAACTCACGGCACGGTTATTGAATATCATTGGCGTACGCCAGCAGATTATACAGCAGCTTTTACCCTATCTATTCAGCTATGCAGTTTTGAACGGCACGGAGAGGCCCTTCCCGATCCTGACGGAAGTATTGTTATTGCTTAACGTCAGTCTACATAACCATATAAGTTTTGCGGGGAGAGGCTGCTCTTTTTCGTTCTGTCGAAGGCTGCTTTAAAGTCGACGAAGAGTTTGTGTGTGTCGCTCCACATTTCACGGATCTTTTCAAAGATTTTTAATGGTTGATTTACCAGGTATAAAACTACATTGATAAGGTAATACCCGCCGCTTTGTTGTTTTTCAAGAGCGCGATTGTTTGAACTTCTTCATAGGCGGGCAGTAAAACATTTGTTCCATCGTCATCGATTGGGGAATCGGGTTTGTTTAATACAGTTTACTGGGTCTCTTGTCGTTTTGCCTACTGCTTTTTAATGTTGTTGTTGTAGCGGCTAAATCCATCTAAATCATCGAAGTCATCTAACGGGAGGTCCAGAAAACGAGGTTTAGGACCAGAGGGAGAGGGGAGTTAGATTAGTTGGTTTTAAAGGGCATGCAAAGAGGTGATTAGCGACGTGCATGAAGGGCATACGTTAGGTATATCGGGAACGGGTCTGAAGTAGGCGTTTAATCTACTACCATATCCAGACCTGTGTTGTGGTGGTTTGACCCCGAGAACGCCATTCGCAGCAAAGGAGATAAATATGGTGTGGACGGACTCTCGATGATGAGGTTTAAAAGTAAAACAGCAGTTGGAAGAGAAAGTCAGCCTGCGGAAGCCCTTTTTTAATATTTGTGAGTTCCGATGGTTAACCGATGATTGACGACTACAAGGCCATGGTGCACCTAGTCTACCCCCGCTGTAATGAAGACTCTATCCGACAGTAGCACTGAATGATTGACAGTGTCAAAAGCTTTTGACAGATCCATTGCTACCAGGACAGCTCGCGCACTCGACGAGCCGTTGGTACATAAAGAGGTTTCAGTAAAGATTCAAAATCGGAGAACATTTTCAATGGTACAGAACTAAATGAAGACGGTACACAATTCTAGAAGAGCGTACAACTGTTCGAATTTGTCAGTAATAACGAAATTATCGGCCACAACAACTACGTCGTTAGTTCTGTTTTCTCTAGACTGTACAAGACAATAAAGCGAAAGGGTTTTATAGCGAACGAGGTCAAGACGAAATGTCGGCTGCCATCAAACAAATAGTCAGCGCACTCGCGGCGGTGGAATTACTCAGGTGTACGAGGAGTTGTAGTCTCCCAGGGACTCAGAAGCAGCGAGGTAATGCTTAGTACCTGCTAACGGGTCAAATATTGTGAATTTTGTTTACACAAATCTGCATATTTTTAAGCTAATTATTTGGGTTCTGTTACTAAACTAGACAGGGGTTACTCGAAGTTTCAAGCATTTTCTCAAACTTTTCTACACCGTCAGTCGAAGAACTATAATTCTCAACACTTTCTGAGTTACTATGCGAGATCATGTTGTAGTGAGCCCTAGGGTCAACGGTTAAGTTTCCGAAGTAACTTCCGAAAAATGTCTTTATCTTTCCATTAACGTTTGAATTTATCATTCTTTCCCTACGACATTCGCACAATTTCAAGTTCAACTGCCTTACATACCATCTTCTTGTTAATATGTAAATGGGTTGTGTTCACTTCGATGCACCTTAAATTTGGCCAGTGGCCAAGATCTGCTGCAAAACACGGTTAACGCCAACACTATTACCACCGCCAATGCAGAACGAAAATGTTTGAATAATGTACTTGCTGGCATGCAAGTGACGCCGACATGCCAACCCCACCGTCTGCCAACAGCTTTAATGCCTCACATTATCGGCGCTGGCACGCTCTGCTCTGCACTGCTCACTGCGCTGCCTTCAGCCGCATCAATGTGCCAGTAAATCATCGCACATAAAGCGAAAGTTTCCATTCATGCAGTGAACAAAACACAATACAAAATATGAAAAATTAAAAAAAAAAGGAAAAAAGCGACAACAGCCAACGAATGAACAACCAAAAGAATAATGATACACAGGTTTACACACATAACCGTATATAAGTGTATTTTAAAATATGCTGCTTGTATTTTACAAGTTAACAAAAAACTGCACACCATTCAGTCCATTAGCCTCTTGTGCTAATGCCAGCTTAAAGCGTACGTACGTACATAAATCGCAAAAAGGCAAAGAGAAAAATAATAAAAATTACTACTAAACCGATAAGCATGTCTACTAACTACATCAACAGTGGCCATTCTTGGCATGTGGCTGGAAGCGGAAGTAGTCATTGATTTTTGGTCACCAGGCCAGCTGGTCCACATAAATAACGATGCTTCTCCGACAGGCGCAACGGTTCGAAGCCCAACTCGTCCTGTGGTATGCCGAATTGCGTTAACTTGGACTCGTATGTGGCGAGCAGATCGTCATGCGCTTTAATAACACGCACCAGCTCGTAGCGTAGCTCGTCAATCAACTTATTCTTTTCGTCAAGTGATGCATTGATTTGTTTTTGTATATTTTCCGTTACATCGCCGGAAGCGCCACATATCATTTGGGTTTGCTTTAGTAATAAATCACGTTTCTCGCCATCCCGTTCCATCATGGAGATCTTACGCTCGAGTAGTACATTCTTTAAGCCCGTCTTTTGTTGTAATTCCATAACAACTTCATCGAATTTCGATTTGAGTTCTTCCCGTTCTCTCTTCAGGGTATCGTTGCGCAGTAGCAACGTTTCTGTTTCCCATGTGAGTGCCTTCAGTTGCTTTTCGATATAAGTGTTGCGCGCCTTGAGACGTGCCAGTTGATTACGGTCACGTTCGAAATGCTCCATCTTGCGTCGCAAGTCCGCCAGTTCGGTTTGGGCCGCTTCTAGTGGCTCTTTGAGTTTACGATTCTCGGTAAGTACCTCGGCAGCAGTTCGATCACTGCGTTCGGATTGTTTACGCAATGCCTCCAGTTGTTCCTTCAAACTACTAATCAGACCCAAATTATTCAATGTGATGTCGTTGTAATAGTTTTTCATGTCGTTGAAGGCTGTGTCGTGACTCTCGATTAGCCGCTGAATTTGTGTGTTCTTACGTTCCTCCACTTCGAACATCTGCATTCGGTAGACTAGTTCGACCTCGTTCTTTAGTGCCTTCATTTTCTCCTCATGCAACAGCTCCATATCTTTGGCTTCCCGTTGGAATTGAATGCGTGCCTCGCTGGTTTAAATATAAGAAGGAAATAAGTTTTTAGTACAATACGAACCAATTTTAAAAGTTCTTAATAAATAATAAATATGATAAAAATTTATGTGGTCATAATAGGGCTTAAGCTCTGAATGCCGTCGCCCCTCCGCAAGAAAGTCAACTCCTCCGCAATGAAACAAAAAGTTGGTCATTAAAATTCAGCAGTCCTTCTGAAGCAGCTTCGAATGAGGCGTAGCTATTCCACAATTTGTGGAGATTTTACGTACTCCTACTCCGTATAATCAAATCGAAGAGGCACGGACTGCATTCGAATTAGGTTGGAACGTTATATGTAGTAATTAAGGAGCACCTTATATATAGTAAGTTAAGATCATCTATTCAACAGATTCGGTTCCTCTTTGATTTTTGTTTGAGCTCTTCTTCCGAACTTTTTGTATACGACTTGATGAATTTCCAACCAATGGAGGCAAGTACAGTTTATTCAAAGCCACCTCCGAACGGCCGATTGGTTTATAGAAGGAGCTCTTTATTTCATGTCGGATATACCACTCGGAGGTCTTGACATTACTTGCCGAGTAGCGATTAAAGCAATTAAAAAAATTAATTTCCTATTATTTTGGATGTTGGTCTCGCCAGGGCTTCAACTCTGCTCTTCAGAAGGGCTCTACGCAATGCTAACCACTTGACCTTTGCCATCGGCATAAAATGAAATAATATCAGCTATAATCATTACTCATATCTAGATTTCTCCTATGCATTCAATACTCAGTTCTTAGTCAATGTCCTCGAATACGTGTTACGGACGACTGGAGGAGAAAGCGATTAGAAGGTAGTGTATGAAAAAATGCAAAATATTTCCTCTGATCGGAGAAACAATCAACGCAGAGGCTACGACAAATTACATCAATAAAAACGTCAGGCCCGAAATTCGACGCAGAATCCTTCTTGCCAGCAGGTCCGACTTTTAAGTGAATATATGTACATTTGAAAAGTATAGTCCGCACCCGTCGATCAAGTTGTTCAAGTCGCTTATCATTTTCGTTTTGCTGTATGGCGACGAAGCCTGGACTGTGATATAGTAAGAGTTTTCGTGATAAAAGCTTAGAGAATAATAAAAAAGGCTCCTGGGTACCTGCCAAAACGAATGTCGTTGACGACAAAACGATGAGCTGTAGGAGACATAATTGAGTCAGTTCAGCATATTAAGAGAATACTGCATCATATTGCCTGGATAGTTGTAAGCACTCCAATTTCGAAAGATTTCGATGAAGTACCAGTTCATGAAAGTAGAGGAAGATTAGCTAGAGAAGAACCTGTCCTCATTTGGTGTTGTCGCAGATGATCATTTCTTATATCTACGAAGTGGTACTTCATCATATAGAAATAAACTAGTATTTTACTAGTTAGAAACTAAAACATGGTCGTCAAACATTTATTTTACACCACCATTGAGGCCTTGGTAGAAACGTTAACTTCACCGTGTTATAGAGGTGAGCTGGGCTTTTCCATGAACATTGCATTGACCTCGATCAACAGACTTTTTTACGATCAAGATATACTAAAAAAAAGCAATGTAAAAAATAAGTGAAAAATATCGTAGCTGTATAGATGTCACCTACTACATAAAGCCCTTATAGCAAGTGTCAGAACTGCTCTGACGAATTTAGTATCCGATACTTAAGTAAGCTGGAAGGCCGAGGATTTTCACGATGACATGTGTGATGGCGTCCATGGGTACCATGGAAGAATATAACCCGCGGAAGATCTTCTGAGCTACGAGGTGTGACAATTAAGTAGTGAGACCGATTCCATAAAAACCATATATTTCCAAATTAATCTACAACTCTGCCATCCTCCTCGAAGTAGTCCCATTGGGCAGCTATACTATCCTCGGCCGCCTAGATGTCCTTAATCGACTCAAAATGGGTTGTTTTAACCACCGATTCGGTTCTAGTGAACAAAAAAGTCACAGGGTGATATATCGGGAAAATAAGGCGGTTGTTGCAACACGCCGCGACACGCTGAAGGCGGTGTGGTACGGTGCGTTATCGTGATAAAGGATCCAATTATGGGCGCACTCTGTTGACATGTTTTGCAAGAGTACTTGGCGATAGTAGACTTGATTTACTTAGCTGTTTCGCTTAATTTGGCGAAAAATTTTATCCCTAAGAGTTGCTCTGGATTTCGTTTTTCCATTTTCGTGAGGAGCACCACGAACACACGTTTACTCAACCTACGCTGCAGGTGAACCAAACAAGCTAGAGCGATGGCAAATACATAACTGGAGAGGAGAAAGATGCCGGGAGAAGGGAAAGGGGCAATATAATCAGTCTCATTACTCACGAGGTGTCTCAACCTCGTATATGAAGCACGAAGGGGTCGACCGGTTCAATTTCAATTATCCTAACTTTGTTATATTATAATTCTCCTTAATAGTAGCTAAGTGAAGAAGGATTAAGCTTTACTGATTATTTCTATTTACTGCCAAATCATGTGGCTATTTCATTGCTCTTTATATTTGAGACAAATTGGGTTCGCTTATACTAGAAAAGACCTCGACTATTTACTTACGCCATCTCATCGTTATGCTTCATCTTCAATTGTTGTATTTGCAATTCATGCGTTTCATCGCGTTCCCTCAACAGACGACGCAAATCACGCTTATCCTTAAGCAATTCTTGCTCCTGAGCGACATGATCTTCCTGAGCAAGTTTCAGTTGAGTCATCGCCTCAGCGCGTATTTCACCAATCTTGCTTTGATTCTCATATTGCAAATGTTTCATTTGTTGCATAATATGTTTGGTATCGATGTCAGCTAACTCCTGTGCCATCTCCACTTCATGATCCTTATGACGCACCTCGAAACGAGTTTCCTCTGTTTAAGAGTAGAAATTTTACAGCTAATTAGCCACATACATACATACACGTCGTAAGGTACATACCCAACTGTCCTCTGGTGATTTCCCAGAATGTACGTATTTTATCACGCTCCAATTGAAAGAAGTTCCTCTCTTCCCGTTCGCGTTCCATCTCCTCTTTCAATTTCAATGCAAACTGTTCAAGTTGGTCCCTTGTCATGGTGGACGTGTCCACGCCATCAATTAACACTGAAATCAGTAAGTGAATTCAATTGAAACTAATCGAAAATGAATTACAATGATTTGAATTCATTTGAGTCTGTCGAATTAGGATAAGTGTGCATATGTACAATATAAGTATAATATGTATGTATGTATATGAGTTTAAGTTTTTATTTGAAAGCAGTGCGAACATCATGAAATGTGTGCTGAATTGTTTGATTTGAATACAAACATATGTACATATATATGTATGTTCGAGGCCGTATTCAGGAGGGTGGTTTTAGGTATTCCGACCTCTCTTGGAAATGTCAAAATAAATTAGACCTAACAGAGCCTATTGGCAGCCGCGTTAGCCGAGTGGTTAGCATTACGTACTGTCATTCGGAAGGCTCGGGTTCAAATCCCCGTGCAATCAACATCCAAAGGTTATAGAACATTATTTTAATTAAAAAATAAGTTAAATTTTCCAATTGCGGTCGCCGCTCGGCAGGGTATGCACACCCCTCTGAGTGTGTTTCGGACATGAAATAAAAGCTCCTCATAAAAAACCGCTCGAAGGCGGCTTTGTATTAACTGTAAATCTCTCCATTAATTGGAAATACATCAAGACGCAAAACCACAAATTGGACTCTTCCAAGCTCGGCCGAAAATCGCTTCAGCGGTTACAAAGTGCCAATTATATATACCAGATGCTACTACATACATTGAAATTGTTTTGCAAATTATGAAAGAAGATCTTGCAAATATCGAGGACGAATTTTCAAATCAGCGACTGAACTTCATCTTCCTATGAAAAAGAAGTTTCCGAACCGTGTTATTTCTCAAAGAGATGATCGAAATTGGGCACGGAGATCTTGCGATTTAACACCTCGCGACTACTTCCTTCGAGGCCATGTGGAAAATAAATAATCCTGCAAATTGGTATAAGTACGCTGATAGATTTCAGCGTTTAATAAATAATACTCCTTCAAGAAGTACTTGCTTAGCTCCATTCAAAATAACGACAGAGTATAAAATAGGCTGTTTGGTAGCAATTAAATGAACCCAATAGGAGCCGTACCTAAAGGCCAAAGCAAAATTTCTCGGCTCATATTCCGTAAATCAAAAGTACGGCACGGAAGACATGAGGTCAAAGCAATAGGTGATCACGAAGGTCCTTGTAAAACTGCAACGGCAGCGGAGTATGTGAAAGCATGCAATCCTTCGTTTAGGTCGAACGACAGTTGAGGACGGCCGAATGAAGGCGGCAAACACGGACTGATTACTCGAAGTGGACGGGCATACTAAAGGACTACTAATATATAATGCAACCCGGCTGAACTGAAGAATGAACGCGTAGTAGACAGAAGTCCAACAGGACGGTTGCTATTTGAATTTCAATAAATACATATCTAAAGATTTCTATCTTTTTGAGTTTGCTATTTATTCAAAATCCCGTACACACGAGTACATCCTTCGTAATTATGTTATTTTTTAAATGTTTAATGCTACCCTTGAAGCAGATTATGTATAAAAGCTAGCAGAGATATCGAAAGTTGATTTCCCGCCACAAAAACAGCATAGGAACGGAGTCCGACGTTTTCTTGCTGAACTTGCAGATATGGTAGAAAGAACCTAGTTATATTCCCAAAAAAAGGCCAGATAATCTTCGGCGATTCTCGTGGCATAAGCCTCCTGAATATCTTGAATAAGGTCCTAAGATTGAGTTCGCCGGAAACGAAATTATTGGATCTGATCAGTAAGACTTCAGACTTGATGGGTAGGCTGCTTTACTGAGCAACAATAAAAGTTCCGTCAGGTTCGGGAAGGATCTTTCCATACCGTTAAAAGTTCCAGGAAAGGTGATCCTTTAGTGTGTAATTTCTTCAATCTGTTGTTAGAGAAAATAATACAGACAGAACAGTTAAATAGCGATGCTTCTAAAAAAGCTTACAAAGGCTGGCGTATACCAATGATATTATCCTTGCTCTCAATAACCGCGCTGCTAGTTCCGTATTCTCCAGACTTTCATCAAATAAACAGTCAACCAATCAACAGTCAATCGCGTTTTGGCTCCTAAGTCACTGTTAACAATCATTTGATGTTGTAGAAGATTCCATCTAAGCAGTACTCGGCAAAAGCACTAATAACACTGTCAGTCTGGAAATCTAACGCAGAATCAATCTATCTAATGGATGGTCCTTTGAACTATGCAAGCAGATGGAAAGTAAACTCCTCCGAGGTCAAGCAAAGACCAAACTTTATAAGTCGTTCATAATTCCTGTCCTGTTATTTGGCTTGGACGAGTACAACACCGAGCCCTTGGACGTCTTCTAGAGAAAGGTTTTTTGGAATATGGTAGTTATGGTCCCGGGCGATGGGTACTAACGCAGGCGATGGCGTCATGAGCTGTATGACATATACGACGCCACTGGCTTTTATAAATGTTTCAGTGATTCTTTGCGCTCAGTTTTAAAAGGAGATTCTGCCTTGTCAGGATTTGTTAATTTAAGGCATGATGCCCCCAGAAAGCCTAACGCTAATTAAGTCATAAAAAAATTGATGAGAGTGTGCAATAAAACTCCAAGACTTAAAGTGTAAATTTATTGCTTTATGCAATTAGCAGCTACATTTGCAAAAATGAGAATTCCCATTTTTAATCGCTGCATCATAGCACAATTAAATTTCCGAAGCAGCTTCGCATATATGTATGGACCTATTGGCCTTACTGTTTGGAGCTTGTATGCGGGCCGTCGTCCGAGTGCTCTTCAGTAATTTTCCCTCCACTTTTGCCATGCTTTTTTTGTGGTTTTGCGCAAATAATTATTTTCTATTTTAAATTTTGTTTGTTTTCTTTTAATTATTATTTTTTGTTGCCTTTTGTTTTAGCCTTCGCATCCCTCACATATGAGTTGGGATGCAATTACTGCACTGTGTGGCACCCAAGAGAGAGCGCAACAGTATTTAGTAACTAAGTTGCTAATGGACCATATGTGTGGGTGGGCAACAGTGCGACTCTCAAGCTTTTGTGGCTGTGCTTAGCTATCGTTGACCATCATCAGCCGCCACTACTGATGACGCCACCGCAAAGTGAAGTTGAGTGCGTCTCGTCGCGAAATGTGCATTTGGGCAATTATGTCCCTTCGACGCGGCAAATGTCATGTGTTATGTAGGGATATTTGTAAAAGTACAGAAGTCGACGGTGTAGTGTGTTGCCCAGTTAACGGAAATAATGTTCAAGTTGGTAATATTTATCAGGAAGTTTTGTATAAAGAGTAAGCTTGGTATAAGCGAAAATCTGTTTTAACAGAGGATTATTTCTCAACAGAGATTAGTTCGTCAATTTGCAAATAATAGAAAATTATTTTCCTGTTTGAGGTCGGCGCTCAGTAGAGAATGTCAATTCCTTTCCGATATGATAAAGATAGGGGGTCCTCAAAAAAAATTCAAAAGCCTTTCAGAAGTGGCAAGGCGCACACCACAAATTGAAGGAGGAGCTCGGTCGAAAATTGTAAAATCATATCAGCGTAGAATCCATCTTGCCAACAGGTGCTACTTTGGACTGAGTAGGCAATTGAAAGGTAAAGTCCACTCCCGACGAACGAGAACCAAACTCTACAAGTTCCTCATCGTTCCCGTCCTGCTATATGGGGCGGAAGCATGGACGATGTCAACATCTGATGAGTCGGGGTTAAGAGTTTTAGAGGAAAAGGTTTTGCGTAAGATTTATGGTTCTTTACGCATTTGCAATTGCGAATATCGCCTACGATGGACGCACATTGATATTGTTCAGCGAATCAAGAAGCAGCGGCTCCGCTGGCTAGGTCATGTGGTCTGGATGGATGCGAATACTCCAGCTCTGAAAGTTTTCGATACAGTACATGCGGGTGGAAGCTGAGGAAGGGGAAGACCTCCATTCCATTGGAAATACCAAGTAGAGAAGGACCTGGCTGTACTTGGTATTTCCAAATGGCGCCAAACAACGATAATAATAAACGAATGGTGGAATGTTGTTGAATCGGCTGTAATTGCGAAAGCGGTGTCTACGTCACGATCACGCGATCTAGGTGGACGATTTTGATCACTAAAACGAACGTCGAAGGAAGTTTTAAAATTGATGAAAAGGTGATATGAATCGCACCTCTTTTCACTAGTTTTTTTTCAAGATTTGACGCATGGTGAATATCTGGTTTATGGTGGGCTTTTCATATCTGTAATCACACTGATAGGGTCCAACTAGGTTGTTGCAGGGAGCTTCAATCTTTCAAGCAATACGCTCCATAAAAGCTTATATGTGATATTTAGGAGGTTAATCCTATTGATGCAGACCGGGGGTCTCCTTTTTTATCGATTGGGCGAAGCATACTTTCGACGTGTGACAATTAAGTAATGAGACTGATTCCATGAAAACCGTATATTTTAAAATTATTCTACAACTCTGCCATCCTTTTCAAAGTGGTTCCCTTGGTCAGCTATATAACGACTCCAACGCGTTTTCCATGCTTCGATACATTTCTGGTACGCTTCGACTGGGATGTCCGTTAGTACAAACCCTCCCCTCCACGGCCACCTTAATGTCCTTAATCGACTCAAAATGGGTTCTTTTGACTACCGATTTTATTCTAGGGTTTAAAAAAAGTCAGAGAGTGATATATCAGGCGAATAAGGTGGTTGTTCCAACAAGGCGATCGATTTAGAGACCAAATACTGGTACACGCTGAGGGCAGTGTGGCATGGCGCGTTGTCGTAATGCATGGTCCACTTACGAACGATGTCTGGGCGTACTCTGTTGACTCGTTTTCGCAATATTTCGAGTACTTGACGGTAGTGTAGTTAATTTACGGTTTGCTGCGGTGGAAGAAATTCTATTTGAACGATTCTACGGCCATCACCTTCGACTTGTTCATGCGGAGACAACCATTGCGAGCCTGGGGACTACTAGGGTACTATAACCATGCACTTTTACAATTCGCCTTATTTGGCGTAAAATTTTATCGTGACGCGTTGCTCTTGATCTCGTTTTTCGATTTCCATCACGAATACATGTATACGACACAGCAGGCGAACTAAACAAGTTAGAGCGATGACAAATATATCAGTGGACAAGAGAAAGATGTCGGGAGAAGGTCGCAGAGTTACCACAATCGCGGCAATGTAATCAAGTCTCATTACTTAATGGCCACACCTGCTAGGTTCTGCCGTCAGACATGCTTTCGTTCGTCAAACGCTCAGCCGGAAAGGCAGCGACTCGAGCCGCTTTCAAGGTCGGGTAGATTGGGGTCTAGAGTTCGCCATCTCCAGCGGTAGTATTTTGCGAAATTGAACCTTAAAAGGCTGCAAGGTTTGTATTGGACAAACATAATGTGACAATGATTGTGCGGGATCATATTATGTGAGTTAGGAATGGAAGTGTGAAAGTAGCGACTTTAGATAGACAGTGGTCGGCCGCTTCCACAGCTCTGAGCTTCTCTCGAACGAAGAGAAAAGCTGCAACATATGCAAACAGCTGGCTTTGTTGTCCATAATGTGGCTTAGACAAGTAATTTAAGATACCACATGTTGTCTAAGTGTTTTGCTTATTGGCCTTGACACCATTTCTAGCTTTCGTTCATATAAAGACTCAAGACTTTGGAGACAATGCGTCTTGTGAGTGGCCAAACAACTACCTACGCATTGCTGGGTAATTTGTGGCAAAAGCAATTATCCACTCAGTCGTGAAAATTAAGTAAAGAGACAACAGCTGCGCTACCACCGCACTTGACCCACGACTGTGTATGTAAGTACAGCAGAGTTTTACACGTACAACAAACTTGCATTTAGGCTTGTGGTGCCTACTACACTTGCTCATGAAAATAGCTACAAAAATACATAGTATGTGACATGCAGCTTTTACTTCTTCTAAAGTCGCGTCTTGCCACAAAATTCTTATATTTTGAAAAAGCAGAAAAAAAAGCAAAAAAAAAAATTTTTTTGGAAATTTCGCCATGTGTGAGCTTTGTTTTTGCTTTCCTCGCTGCAAATAAAGTCCATACAATTTTGCAAAAATTAAAAGTCGACAAGAGAGTAAGTACTTTTTGTTAATATTTAATATGACTGCACATACACACATATGTATGTATGTATGTGTGTGTATATATCGTTGCACGCTGTCCAGCAGCCGAGGGCTTATGTTCAAGTGACCAACAATTAAGTAATATCAGCTACAGTTATAACTAGGCGTGTTCTGCAATTCTATGATCGTCATGTAGCATGCAACATTTGCCAGAAATGCCATTGCATTCATTCATACGTATGTATGTATGTATGTATGTATGTATGTATGTATGTATGTATAAATGTGTACGTTTATAAAACACATATGCAACTGTCCGTATGTCGCATGGCATTTAAATGACTGCAGAATGAACTCGAAACCATGAAAAGCTACTGCATACACATGCAAACATATCTATATATGCAGCTATATGTATACTTTATTTCATTGCTTTACATTGCAAATGCTGCAATTGCTGCAATATGTTGCACTATGAAGATATGCTGCACTTTGTTGCCATTCTAATGCATATATGAACATACATATGTACGTACATGCATCAATAAAATTATACTTCATTCATGAAGAATTTATTTTTAAAACACTCCATTGAAATGCTTTTACGCATTGCTAAATATAAACGCAAAAAAAAAGTGCAAACAATAAAAATCCACTAATCCGCATTATCGCCTCTCACATCACAACGACATCTCTCTTCTTTTTCCAGTGGCGTCAATAAGCCATAGCGCCGCTAGTTGCTAGTTGTTTGTGTGTTTGTGTGTTTGTGTGTTTAAATGTCGTTCGAATTGCCTAAAATTGACTTCTTTGCCGACCGGAAGCGCATTTCATTTGACGTGAATAGAAATAGCGCAAAGTGTGGCTTTTGTTCATGTCAATGCGCCTAAAAATATGCACTAATTTATTACAGTGCAGCTCGCGTCTATTGTTTAGCTGCTGATAGGAAAATTTTTGGTTGCTTTGTATGATAGTCAAAACAAGCGTCTATTCATGAATAACACACACAGACGCACACACACACATACACATACAAACACACAAGCAAAGCCTGCTGTTCCCGAATATCCTGTCAAGTAAATACAATGTATGCTGCATACATACGTACATACTATTGCTTTGGGCAATTTTCATACTGCACACCCAATACATACTAACTATCGTGTAAATGCAATTCTTTCTTTCTCTTCTACATAACATATTTATACATTTAACACCCCAAAAGGATGCAACATTACTTAAAAGCTCGTGAGGATTATCCACATGTGTATACGTTTACATGCATACATATTATATTTCCTGTGAAATTGAGTGTTGAAGCCAAGACATTGCTTGTCACTTATAATTGTTTTAAAGGATAAAATATAAAGCATATCTTTCAATGTGTAAAAGGGCATTAACTTTAAAAACGTATCCCTTCTGCGTCGAGGTTATGCCTTTACTGTAATTCAACGCGTCGAGGTTATGCCTTTACTGTAATTCTGTTTATTTGTTGCATATTCAGGATCTTAAAAGATTTTCGGTCTTTTGCATATTAAAAATATAGTGAATTATTGAAAAACTCACATACACACATATATACATGTATATGTATGTGCTTTAAAGATAGCGGGTTAAAATGAAATACTTACTTGGCGCCTTCTTTCCCTTCTTTCCTTTACCCTTTTTTGGAGGCTGAAATTAATGGAAGAAAAAATTTATATAAATAAAAGAGAATAGAGGAAATTATTAAAATATCTCAAAATAATTATGAAATTGCATTATTTGCACATAAATATGCATAAACGAGTGATGGTGGATTACTTACTATCAGGTGCTATATGATGGAGTTTCAACTTCCCCACGTGCAGCTGAAAATTAAACTGGAGCCTAAAAAGCTGGTTGACAAGTGTAATGATCGAAAATTCCACGAAAATATACTATACAAAAGGTTTCAAGACCGGAGCAGACTCTTAGATGGCACAGAGAGGTGATCTATTGACTGATACCAGAGTACACTGAATTTATGGAGGGACCATGTTTCCATCCTGTTATATGATAGTGGAAGGGGGTGGCTAACCGGCTGAGCTATTTAAGCATGGTCGAATACGGTCGGATGAAAGCATAGCCGACGATTTAAACCTAAGGGATCCCATAGTCTGCGCCAATTACCGTGAAATAAGCATCCTTAACATCACACATAAGGTTACATCGAGCATTGTTTGTGAAAGACCAAAACTCACTGTCAGCAAACTAATTGGACTTTATTAGTGAGGCTTTAGACCTGGTAAGTCAACCATTTACCAGATATTCACCATGCGCCAAATCTTAGAAAAGACCCGTGAAAAGAGGACCGACACACAACACCTCTTCGTCGTTTTGAAATCAGCCTTCGACATCACGAAAAGGAGCTGCCTTTACTCCGCTATGTCTGGAATTGGTATCCCCACAAAACTCATACGGCTGTGTAAACTGACCTTAAGCAGCACTAAAAGATCGGTGAGGATTGGGAAGGATTTCTCCGAGCCGTTCGTTACAAAACGAGGTTTCAGACATTGGTGACTATCTAAGAATGATATTGTTGATTTGGCTATAATCATATACGCCAATAAATGAGGCATTGAGGTCGATCAAAACGTTGTGAGTGAGATCATCTAATTTTTTTCTTCCAAATTATTTATTTCATTGCGGTTGTACAAATAGAGGTCCTCATGCCGAGTTGTCGTTGAATACTCTCTGAGAGCAGTAGTGTAATTTGAGCAGAGGATTTGTGTTTGCTGACTTAACTGCATAGAGGCGGGTACTTAGTTGTCATAATATAGTGGTCCGAGTGGATATTGGGGCCTCAGAGTCTGGGAATATCTAAAATACCGCAGACATGTGTTCAGTCTATCAAAACGTTCTCGATTTTGTAGAGCCAGTACATTGGGGCACCGACGAAATCGATCAGGTTCAATCGCTTAGGAGGTGATTCGTCATAGACGCTGATTTTTCGCGGCAATTGTATAGAAGATACCTTCTTTCTCCACCCTGGATATTAAAATCGTTAAAACTATGCCAATGGAACGATATACGCTTCAACAACCCATTCAAATTATTAAAATTCATTATAAAAATGATGAAAACCAGGCAGATACGGTGCGTAAAACTAAAACATTTTTCGGTCGTCGTGAAGGACCTTGTTGGACCGCAATACAGTGAATAGGAAAAGTTAATGATGTGAAGAATGAAACACGTGCACGTCGCACGTCGTGGGTAAAAGTGCTCGAAATATGCGCTTTAGAGGAAAAATTATAGTAGCAATTTTTGTTATGTACGAGGTGTGTTCAGAAAATAACCGTTATTTTCCATTTTATCAAAACGTATTTATTTGTTAATCAAAAACTTTTTTGTCCCCTTCAAAGGAATCCTCTCATATATAATACGCCAGCGTTTTTGCCACGAAACACGTCTTTTTGCTATCGCCAATTCGATTCAATTTTTCTTTTATCTTCTCAATCGTAGTGAAACGCTTTCCTTTCATCGGTGTCTTCAGTTTTGGAAGAGGAAAAAGTCAGCGGAAGCCAAGTCCTATGAATACGCTGGCTGGGGCATGATAACGGTTCTGTTTCTGGCCAAATGATGTGAGCTATTGCGTTATCCATATGCAATATCCATAATTGTTTTTGTGGCAATTCTATGGGTTTCTGACGATTTGCTTCGAGCAAAAGGGGCATAAGTTTTTCTCCGATATGCCAATATCACCATCTCTGATAGTTATTCGACGATTATCCAAAATCATTTTCTTCACTGCTTCAATGTTTTCATCGGTTGCGGACGTGCAGCCATTGCCATTGACATCTTCTCGGCTATCCTGAAACCGGTTATAACACAATTGAACTTGTGTTCTGCTAATAGTATACTCGCCAAACCCCATAGTCACCATTTCAAATGTCGAAAATCGAACATAGGTTACTCACGAAATTTGAAAATAACGAATATTTTCTGATCACACCTCGTATGTAGAGTGACAAATTTGACGAAAAGCATTGAAAACTTTTAAATGAAAATCTACAAATTATAAAGACAGGCTGGTCCGATCTTTTTGGTTCAGAAATTTGGTGTCGTTTAAAACTACATCTCCAAGCCATGGTTGGTTTAAATTTATCTCCAAAATTAAAGGGACAGTTTACGTCAAAACAAATAGACAAACAGGCGGACAGCATAATTTTTTGGAGTCTTCTTTTTATTAACATAAAATGAAAAAAAACACCATAACACGAAAACCCCATGATTTATTATTGAAAAGCCTCTCCATCCTCAACAGATGACTGTTTGGTGCAATATATAGTCCCGCAAGATCACTGGACCTTTATTTTATTTATTGTACAATAAGACGACGCTACGTGCCACATAACCATCAATTTTTTCGGACCATCTTATCTCTCAAAGAGGTGAGCGCTATTGGCCACAGAGATCTTGTGTTTTAACTCCTTGTGACTTATGCCTTTGGTGGCACTTGAAAGATAAGGTCTACGCCCACAATAAAACATCGATTCAAGACCACAAAGATGGAATTCGGGAAGCTATTGAGGGCATACATACAGCAGCCACTTGGCGATTTGGTGACGGAAAATTTCATGAAAAGGTTATGATCCTGTAAGCACAGCTGTGACGGTCATTTGGGTGTCATTGTTTTCCATTATTAACACCCGAACATTTGTCTCCAAAAATGTCATTTTTCTTTAAATATAAAAAAAAACATCTTATTGGAAATCCCTTGGTAAAACACATTCATGTAGCGAGAGCCGCGTGCTTCAAATTTCAACTAAATTGAAACGATCAGGATGTATGTGAATACGAACCAAATTGAATTGTTTTTTTTTTTCATTGAAGATGATGAAAATGATAAAAGCTGTACAATTCTTATTAATATCGATTTCAGCATCAAAGAAGGCTCATTATTACATGTGTTTATACATATTTACATGAAGACAGATGGAAAATCCATTAACCAAATAGAGCGAACTTCGAAACAAACAAGAGATCGAATTAATTATTACAGCTATTTTTTATTGATTCGTAAGTTGTTTTTGTGCTCGAAATTTCCATTCTTATCTGGGTGAAGAAATATACATTGCTACATACAAGCATATTCTGTAGTTGTACGTATGCATGTAAATGCTTGTAGTGCATAAAATATCTTACAACAAATCACCATAGCGATGACAATCCTTGCAGCGGTATTTTCGTACTGACGCAGCCAGATATTTAATGTGTATGTATACATCCATACAAATATGCATATGTAAATTCCAGAACTCTATCTACTTATGTATATACTTTCGCCAGCCATAAATTAAAAGAAATATAATAATTGAAATGCCTCAGACGGACGGACAATGTTCACAGTTCGGTTTATGAGGTGCATCGAACTGGCAGGATTCTCAGTAAAAGGAGGCTTGAAATCCAACAGCAACAAATTTCCATAAATACACATATATGTACACAAGTGTGTAAGCAGCTATGAAGAATAAAATGTATGAAATTGAAGAATTAAAGAAAAAGTGAAAATGATTATTTCATGCATTATGCATTACTTAATCGTAATTAAGCCATATTCAGCACTTGACCTTCTTTGTTCGAATGAAGAGTAAGTAAGTTGAACAGATGTATGATGATTAAATGCTGAAGATTCGTAAAAAAGCGGACTTGTATTGTATGCCGCTAGAATATACAGCAACACTGTGAGCAGTGACAAAAGCAAGGCTTATGAATATTTTTTTGCTTTACTGTCGTAGACGCCGTTAACCACTGAAATAGCCAAAATAATAGAATTGCATACTAAAACTCAGAGAGTTAGTGCTTGAGTCCTGGTCTTATCAACATCCCAAAAATTATTGGAAACATTTTTTAGCTCAAATTGAGTTCGCCCCTTAACAAGGTATGGCAAGTCTTCCAAGTGGACTTTTGATATGATATGAAGAGTTCATCATAAGAATCCAAAGGCCATTCGGAGGCGCCTTAGAATAAATTGTAGGCTTCTTTTTTCGTTGGAAAAATATCAAACTATAAACTGGGAGAAGAGAAAGCACAAATAACATATATTTTAAAAAATTATATATCGTTTCGTTTCTTCTTTTCCCCGACTGGCATCAATTGAAGTGCAAGTAGGCCTTTCACCATCTGATCTTTCCGACAGAGGGGATATCATCCTGTTCCTCTGCTGCCACCGACGCGTACTACATCGAATACTTTTAAAACTGGAGTGTGCTCTTCCATCCAGCCAACATGACCTATCCAGCATAATCCGCGTTTTGTTGAGCTATGTAAATGTCGTCGTATATCTCGTACAGCTCATCATTTCATCGGCTGCTGTATTCGCCGTTGCCATTATGCAAAGAAATATAGATTTAACGCAAAAACCTTCTCTCGAAAGCTTCAAAAGCCGACTCATCAGATGCTGACGTATCATATATTAAGAATGGAAGGATGTGATGGACTTGTAGAGTTTGAGCCGTGTTCGTAGAGAGAGGACTCATTTGCAAAGTCAGTCTAATGTAGGACCTGCCAACAAAAGTGATTCTGCGATGGATTTCAAGACTGATACGGTTGCTGGTGTTAATACTCGTTCCAAGGTAGACGAAATTATTTGCCACTTCAATGTTATGAGTGTCCGAAGTGACGTAGAAGCTATGTGTTCATGTTTTATGACA